GTTTTCTGGTAACTTTAGAAGTTACACAATGTATCTGTCTTCTGTAACTACACAAACGCTTTGTAAAAATATTTTATTTATTTAATTTAGAGAGAGAGAGTGACAGCATGAGCAGGGTGAGGGGCGGAGGGAGAGACTCTCAAGCAGGCTCCCCATTGAGCACGGAGCCCGATGCAAGGCTCCATCTCACGACCCTGAGAATTGACCTGAGTCGAAACCAAGAATTGGATGCTCAACTGAATGAACCATCGGACGTCCCTACACAAATATTTTAATAATGCCAAGTGGCAGCCATTTTAATTCACATAAAGTATGAATCTTCATAACAAAGTAGCCTACAGGGGCACCTGGGTGGCTCACTGGGTTAAAGCCTCTGCCTTCAGCTCAGGTCATGATCCCAGGGTCCTGGGATCGAGCCCCACATCAGGCTCTCTGCTCAGCAGGGAGCCTGCTTCCCCTTCTCTCTCTCTGCCTGCCTCTCTGTCTACTTGTAATCTCTGTCTAATAAGTAAATAAAATCTTTAAAAACAAAACAAAACAAACAAACAAACAAAAAAACAAAGTAGCCTACATTAGAGCTCTAGGCAGTGACGTAGAGAAAAGCTGATTCATATCTGGCTGTTAAAAATTATTTTGCTACATTTTAAAGATATGCTGTGATTTAAAAAAAAAAACACAACCAAACATTAATTTTGTGAACACTATGTGTTCACAAACTGGCGCATTTAAAGGTGAATTAAAGGGTACCTGGGTGACTCAATAGGTTAAGTGTCTGCCTTCGGCTCAGGTCATGATCCCAAGGTCTTGGCATCAAGCCCCGCATCTGGGTCCCTGCCCAGTGGGGAGCCTGCTTCTCCCTCTCCTTCTGCTACTCCTCTTGCTTGTGCTCTTTCTCTGTCAAAATAAATAAATAAATAAATAAATAAATAAATAAATAAAGATGAATTAAAGAAATAAAAATAAAGGTGAATAAACACGTGCTCCCTTTCTTGAAAGAACTCAGTGTCTAGTAGGGAGACTATGTGAGAAAAAGACTATCATACAGTGGCATATGTCCTGGAATGATGAAGCAGGAACTGAGGCTACATGGCCGGGTCTCAGGTAGACCAGATATTCATCAGGATTTTGCCTTAAATCCAGCAGTTCTGATGACAGCTCAGGTGCTTGATAAGAATTCCAACAATTTCCTCCTCCCGATCTAGGGAACAAAGGTGCCTATTCTAGCGACCTTCTGTTTTTCAGATGACTCACCCACATTATCCCCCATCACTGCGTTTCTCTTTTGCTGTCTATTAACTGAATCCTCTACATTTCTCGTTTAAGTTCTTGACAGGATCTGCATGGGTCAACTGAACAATGTTTTTCATACAGGTCACATGCTATGTTGCTGACCAGATTTGGCCATAGGAATAGGGTCAGAATCCACATAATGTGGTCACCAGTGTCAAAATTCATTATCAACAGTTGCTTTCCTCAGTAAGGGCCTGTGAGGAAAAACTCCTAAGAAGGGGGATGCCTGTTACTGCAGGGGAATGGCTTAACCTATTTCTACAAGTAACATACAGGTGTATTGTTCAGAACTCTTTCTGTTGAAGGGACAGAAAACTCGATTCATACTGATTTAGGAAAAAGAATATATTTGCTTACATACTGAGAAGTCTAGAAACATGATGGCTTCAAGAATGGCAAATTGGGGCGCCTGGGTGACTCAGTCATTGGGTGTCTGCCTTTGGCTCAGGGTGTGGTCCCAGGGTCCTGGAATTGAGCCATGCATCCGGCTCCCAGCTCGGCAGGAAGCTCCCTTTCTCACTTCCTCTGCTTGTGTTCCCTCTCTCGCTGTGTCTGTCAAATAAATAAATAAAATCTTAAGAAAAAAAAAAAAGAATGGCCAAATCTTAGGGTGCCTGGGTGGCTTAGTTGGTTATGCCTCCAACTCTTGGTTTTGGCTTAGGTCACGATCTTCTGGATCAAGAGATAGTGTCCCGGGGGTGGATTGGGCTATGCACTCAGCAGGGGGTCATCTACTGGGAGATTCTGTCCCTCAGCCCCTCCCCCACTGATCATCCGGCAGGCGCTCGCGCTCTCTCTGTAAATCTTTTTTAAATTTATTATTTTTTATTATTTCATTTTATTTTTATTTATTTCTTTTTAAAAGATGTTATTTATTTATGTGACAGAGAGCGAGTATAAGCAGGGGAAACAGTGTAGAGCAAGAGGGAGAAGTAGGCTTCCTGCCAAGCAGGGAGCCCCTCGATGAGGGGCTCCATCCCGGGGTCCTGGAATCAGGACCTGAGCCGAAAGCTGATGCCTAACCATCTGAGCCACCCAGACACCCCTGTAAATCTTTAAAATAAATAAATAAATAAATAAATAGGAATGGCTGAATCTGGGTTCTCAAATGATATTGTCAAAAATCTCTCACCTTCTCTTAGCTCAGCTTTCTTCCGTGATTGTTTGATTCTTATCCCTACTACTAAGTTTAAATCCTTCCATTTTTAAGTTAAGTGAGCAAGAGTCCCCTCCCTCAACCTCTTTTAGCATTATTCTTGCTAGATGAAGCAGCAGAGTGTAATGGTTGAGACCATGGAATCAGGAACCAGATTGGCTCCAACACTTACTGTTCTTATAACTTTGGGCAACTTATCCAACCTTCTTCTTCTTCTTTTTTTTTTTAATTTAAGATTTTTATTTATTTGTTGGACACAGGGAGAGAGCACAAGCAGGGGGAATGGCAGAGGGAACTCCCTGCTGAGCAGTAAGCCCAGATGCAGGAGAGCAGATGCTTAACCAACTAAGCCACCCAAGTGTCCCTTATTTAACCTTTCTAAGCCTTAGTTTCTATACCACAACTGTTCCTACTTTGGTGGGTTGCTGTGAGGTTTAAAGTTGCTGATATTTGTAAGATAATTAAAATAGTACCTGGTACAACATAAATACTCAATTACCAGGCTCTGATTAAGTTATAATTTTATCCCTGTGTTCTAAGGGGTCTGGCTAGGGTTAGGAGTTTACACCCAAACTACAAAGATCTAGAGTAGTGGAAGGATCATTTAGGAAATTTGGAGTGCCATTACCAAAGGCAGGGGAACGGACGCAGGGTCAACGTAAGCAACAAATGTCTACTACAAAAAAGCTAGCAAACTTAAGACAACTCTTTTTTTTGTAGTTGTTTTTTATAAAAGTAATACACGAATTTCTATACAACGTTTCTAAAAAGGAAAGGGATACAGAGTAATTTGAAAGGATTTCTGTGTTCATGCTGGTAGTTGTAAAAAATAGGCATAATCTGTTTTTTTCCTAAAGATTTTATTTATTTATTTGACAGAGAGCAAGAGAGAGAACACAAGCAGGGGGTGGCAGAGGCAGAGGGAGAACCAGGCTCCCCACTGAGCAGGGAGCCCAATGTGGGGGCTCAACCCTAGGACCCTGGGATCACGACCTGAACAGAAGGCAGCTGCATAACCAACTGAGCCACCCAGATGCCCTCATAATCTGTTATTTGAAAAATGTAATTAGCATTTGACTAGCACTTTACTGAACAAAGTATTTTCACATGCATTAGTTAATTTAATTCATTTTTTAATATTTCACATCTTTTTTTTTCTTTAAGATTTTTATTTATTTATTTATTTGAGAGAGGGACAGTAAGAGAGAGCATGAGAGGAGAGAAGGTCAGAGGGAGCAGACTCCCCAGGCAGCAGGGAGCCCGATGCGGAACTCGATCCCAGGACTCTGGGATCATGACCTGAGCTGAAGGCAGTCGCTTAACCAACTGAGCCACCCAGGCGCCCAGTTAATTTAATTCTTGCAATAGCTCTGGGAAATAGCTATTATTAGCCCTATTTAATGGTAAGGAAACCTAATAAGAAATACAGGTGGATGTAAATTTTACAAATGATAGTAATGTTAGAGCCTTCCCCATTATTCTCCCACAGCATTTTATGTTCTGTTGGCACTCACATAATAATGATTTCTTTAATTCAACAATTATTTATTGAGCATTTGCTTCATACCAGGCCTTGTCCTAGGCACTACGATACAGCAGTGAACAAGAACGACAATCCCTAAAAATTTACATTCTAGTGGAGTAGGGAAAGACAAACCATAGAATAAGAAAAAAACATAGGGGGTGCCTGGGTGGCTCAGTGGTTAAAGCCTCTGCCTTCTGCTCAGGTCATGATCTCAGGGTCCTAAGATCGAGTCCCGCATAGGGCTTTTTTGCTCAGCAGGGAGGCTGCTTCTCTTCCTCTCTGCCTGCCTCTCTGCCTACTTGTGATCTCTGTCAAATAAATAAATAAAAATCTTAAAAAAAATACATAGTACAGTAAGTAGTGATAAGTGCTATAGAGTGAAATCCGGTAGGAAAAGCAGATAAGGAAAGGGTGTATGTTTCAATTTTATACACGATGGTGTGTTTGTCATCTGTTCTGCATTGTTTGCAGCTCTTCCCAAACAAGGGTAAAATCTCACTTGCATTTACCTTCATACTCCAAGCACTTAGCTCAGCACCAGGCACTCAGGGAAACAATATTTATTTTATTTTTATTTATTTTTTAAATACTTTATTTGACAGAGATCACAAGTAGGCAGAGAGGCAGGCAAAGGGGAAGGGAAGCAGGCTCCCGGCTGAGCAGAGAGCCGGATGTGGGGCTCGATTCCAGGACCTTGAGATTGTGACCTGAGCCTAAGGCAGAGGCTTCAACCCACTGAGCCACCCAGGCACCCGGAAACAATATTTATATTGAAAAAGTGATAAGCCTTTCGAGAAGCAAGAGTTGGGAAACAAAGGCCTGGGAAAAGATACCGCCCCTAAATGTTCATAAATTGAAGAACCATTTGTGATTAGTTTATTTCCATTAATCTCGTTTTATTTCCGTTCATCTAGTAAATGATCTTTTCGGCACCTTTATATTACAGAATGAAAGTTATGTGAGACGTTTTTAAAGGCCGTTTTAGGTATTTCAAGTATCTTCAGTCACCTCTCCGGCCCTACCAGCGCGCACAAGGGGTGTGCGCGTGCACTGGAAACTACCACGCCCTTTGCCAGTTAGTTCTTGGTATCAAGGGTAGCTGTTTTCCAGGGAAAGGTCAGCACTCGCCGTTTCCGCTGCGGTGTTAGGTGAAACCGGGTCTGCAGTACGCCGAACCTCAACGAGCCACAGAGGAAGGCTGTAAACCCCGAGACCCACACTACAAAAGGTAAGACATTTCTAACAGCCTTTGCGCCGTGCGCAGCAGAACCTTGACCTCAAGATGGCGTCTCGTAGTCATAAGATTTAATCAGCTCCAATCAAAAATGGCAGAGTGGGTCGTAATATACAGCTCGCGCCTTTCTAGTCCCCACGAGGCGCTCCTTCTCTATGGTTATGCGCCGCAGCGTGGTGATTCGGAGCCAAAAGAGAGGACTATCTATACGCGTTCTTCTCTATGATTCTCCTCTTCACTCTCCCCAGCCGCAGTGCACGCCGGGCAAGAGGAAGACCTCCAGAAGCTCCCCGCGCAGCGCGGCTGTGTTTGCGGCCTGTGCGAGTAGGCGCTTCGGAACCAGACTCCCGGCGAGCGGCGCGCAGAGACCTCGAACCGGTGGAGCCCGCTGGTAACCTGGAGCCCGGAACACCGCGAAGACCGCACCGTTTCCTCAGCGGCGGGTGAGTTCACGCCTCTGGACGCGTGTGGGAACCGGGAAACCGGGTACCTCGGTTGCGGGAGGAGGGGAAGCCAGGGAGGCTGCGAAAGGGCCGGGGTGGGATTGGGGGGTAAAGGGGGGGTTGGGGTGGGGGAGGGGACGGGCACGAGGCTTGGGTTTCTTCACTTCTCTAAGGCCTGGAAAACCAGTGGGCCCATCTGGAGCCGGTGGAGGCCGGACCTACTGCCAGAGCTTTCCTCCTTGCATTGTCGCCCACTTTCCTTTTCCCCTCTGCGGTCCGCCACAGAGTGAATCGCCTTGGCCCATTCTGGGCTCCACGTTTGCCACAAAATGATCCGTCGGCCCCTTCGGAGCCCTTCTCTGAGGCCCCTTTCTAACCCGAGCTTGCGGAGCTCTACTGTAGATTTTCCGGGCCTAGGACACTCTTGCCCCAGGCTCTGCTTACGATCCATCGAGCACCCACCCTTTTTAGCGAGGTGCCGGGTCACCAACGGATTCCTTTCCTTTCCTCTTTCGTCATCCAGAGCCCGCCACCGAGTGGACTCCCTCACTCCCCCAACCCGAATTCAGCTAATGCCCACCTTTTTTAGCACCCCCCTGGCTCTCTCGAGATTGTCATGAGGATTGTGGTTCTGCCCCCTTCCTCCTCTGGAGGTTGCAGTAAACTATATCCCCATTCATTCTAGGCTATGACCAAGTGCCACATTAAAATGTGTTCCTTGTTTCTTACTCTTCTTTGGTCTTCAGTACTTTTTAAATACGTTTTTCGAAGTAGATCTCGGAATATGAAGATTATTTTGAAGTTATATAATGTGGATTTGTATGGCCTTGGAAAAGCCATTTTGGTACTGGGCAGAGTGGAGCGGACCAAAAGGAGGGTAGAGATAGGACTTCTCTTGTACCGGACTGCTGTAGTATGAAGTATCCTGAATTAGGTAGTTGGCAGTAGACGATTTTTATGTTGTTTTGGGGACTTTAATTTTTCGAGGATATCCAAAAACCTTCAGCGGCCTTGAAAGGCATCCAGTTGGTCATTGCTTCCTCATGATTCAAGCAGATAGTATGCAGTTCTAATTAATTTAACGTTTCTTGAAGTCTTGGTTTTCTTCATCTGTAAATTGAGGATTAGAGCAGTATCTGCTTCGTAGGTTATTGTGTTTGGGGACTGAGAAAACATACCTAAAATCCTTAGAGCAATGGCTAAGTAACATAGTGTTTAGTCCGAGATAACTGATACTGTTATTTAAGAGCCTGAGCGGGGACTCTTAACATTTCTTCTCCTGTATTCTGAATAAGTTTTTATAAATCAAAGTTAACCCTTAATAAGTTTCTTCTTGGTATGTTGTTACTGGAAAGAGGCATTGTGATACAGTTGAAAACAGCCTTTGGATTGGTAATTTCAGGATAGTGGGGACTTTGGAGTCCCTGCCCACTTACTGTTTTCCCTTGGACAGGGTATCATCTTCATCTGTAAATGAATAACGTATCTGTGCCAAGTAATTTTGGAGATTCAGTGAGATAATGTATGTCAAAGACTTTTGTAAACAAATAAATTAAAATGTTAGTTAATATTTTCATTAAATAATTGCTCTTTTTGGGGCACCTGGGTGGCTCAGTCAGTTGTGTCCCAACTCTTTTTTTTTTTTTTAGATTTATTTATTTATGAGAGAGACAGAGAAACTCTCAAGCAGACTCCTTGCGGAGACTTCTGCTGATCAGGGAACCCGCCTCAGGGCTGAGTCTCAAGACTTGAGATCAGGACCTGAGCCGAAATCAAAAGCCAGATGCTTATCTGACTGAGCCACTCAGGTTCCCTGAGCCATCCAGCTCTTGATCTCAGCTCAGGTCTTGATCTCAGGGTTGTGAGTTCAACCCGTTTTCCACCCTTGGTGTGGCGCCTACTTTAAAAAAAAAAAAAAATTCATCTCCTTGGGGTTATCAAATTTCCATTTGGGATTCCCAGAGTAGTTTTCCCCTTATTTATTTATTTATTTAGGTATGGTTCCAAACTACTTCTAGGAAGAAAGTGTTTTTATTTTTCCAATGTTAAAAAAAAGGCACCATATATTAATAATAGTTTGGGTTAAGTGTTTTTATTTTGTGGTTTGTTATCTTTTTATTTCACTGTGGTAAGGCTTTAAATATATATATATATATATATATACATACACATATATATATTTTAAAGATTTTATTTATTTATTTGACAGATCACAAGTAGGCAGAGAGGCAGGCAGAGAGGGAGGAAGGGAAGCAGGCTCCCTGCTGAGCAGAAAGCCCGATGTGGAGCTTGATCCCAGGATCCTGGGATCATGACCTGAGCCAAATACCCACTGAGCCACCCAGGTGCCCCTTTAATATGTTTTTAAAATAGGATGAGTTCATTCTAACATTGGTAACTGTTTCAGACCTACTACGAGTTTGGGATTTTCAAGTAAATTTTTGGGTCACAGGTTAGCTGTATAATTCTCTCATTTACATATGGTTTAAAGAAAAATTATATTGACTATTTTGTAGCTTTGGAAGCAAAAGTAGTCATTGAGTCATTCAGTATCTTACAAAAACATTCTGTGTATTTTAATTTTGATAGTCTTTTCTGACAGCTACCACTGCCATTCCTAAAAGAGTTTCGATTGGTTCCCCCTTAAAGTTTTTGAATAGCTTTTTTCTGACCCTTTTTTTGAGTTTTGAAACTTTGGAAAAGAACATGGTATTTACACCACCAGAATTGTTGATATACTACTTTTTAAAACCTAGTACGATTTCAAACTTCAAAAAAGTTTCAAGAATAGTGGAAAGAATTCTCAAATACCTTTTACCCAGATTCTCCAAATGATAACATTTCACAGATTTGCTTTATCCTCTCCTTTTTCTTCATAGTTTTCTTCTGAAGTGTTTTACTAGTAAGCTGCAGATGAGGTGTCCCTTAGTCCTTAAACACTTCAGGTGTATTTCCTAGAATAAAGACATTTTCATATTTAACAATAGTAGAGTGAACAAAATCAGGAAATTAATACTGATTCAATATTGTCTGATCTACAGGTCTTAATTGGATTTAGCCTGAAATTGCCCTGAGTTGGTATTGCTTTTCTTTTCTTTTCTTTTTTTTTTAAATGATTTTACTTATTTGTTTGACAGAGATTACAAGTAGGCCGGAGAGGCAGGCAGAGAGAGGTGGGGTAGGGAAGCAGGCTCCCTGCTGAGCAGAGAGTGATGCCAGGACCCTGAGATCATGACCTGAGCTGAAGGCAGAGGCTTAACCCACTGAGCCACCCAGGTGCCCCTTGCTTTTTTTTTTTTTTTTTAAGATTTTATTTATTTATTTGACAGACAGAGATCACAAGCAGGCAGAGAGAGAGGAAGGGAAGCAGGCTCCCTGCCGAGCAGAGAACCCGATGCAGGGCTCGATCCTAGAACCTTGGGACCATGACCCGAGCCAAAGGCAGAGGCCTTAACCCACTGAGCCACCCAGGCGCCCCCCCCCCTTTTAAAGCAACTTTATTAAGGAGTAGTTAACACACAAAATACACTCTTTGTAACATGTAATTTGATGATTTAAAAAAAAAAATATTTTATTTATTTGACAGAAATCACAACTAGGCAGAGAGACAGGCAGAGAGAGAGAGGAGGAAACAGGCTCCCTGCGGAGCAGAGAGCCGGGGATGCGGGGCTGGATCCCAGGACCCTGGGATCAGGACCTGAGCTGAAGGCAGAGGCTTTAACCCACTGAGCCACCCAGGCGCCCCTAATTTGATGATTTTTTGATAAATGTTTAGAGTTGTGCATCTGTTACCCCAAAAAGGATTCCTCTCTTCCTTTTTGCACACCACTCCTTGTTCCCACCTCAGCTCCAGTCTACCACTAATTTTTCTCTGTAGGTAGTATTGCTTTTTAATCAATGAAGTTGGTAAAACAGCTAAGTGCAAATCTCAGAAAAAGATCAGTTCCCTTTTTGGAGACTTGAGTATTTTCATATCTCTGAAAAGTTTTCCTGCAGAAGAAATTTTTTGTTAAGCATTTCCCATTCTTGAGACATGGAACACTTTTTCTTAGGAATACTTCCTGAAGACTTGACTTCTGTAGAAATTCAGTTTGAGAAATGATGTTTTGAAGGGTTTGCTTTGCTTAGGCTGGGGCAGGTATGTCAGGCCATTGTACCCTGCAGGCTGGAAACAAGTGAACAATGCATTCTATAGTCAGGATCATTTATATTCAGTGTAGAGCCACTGGGCTGGCTGTGTAACTATATAATATCCTAAATTTGCTCTTTCAGAGCTAATAAAACCAATACTTAGAACCTGACATAAAATTGGAGATAGATATTTGTTGAATGAATGAAAGAGTTGTATACTCATTTACTAAGGAGAATCTGTTGGTTCATTTACCTCTTACCATTTGAAATTTGGCACAGTGTCGTGATGGGGTTAGCCACTGTATCTATTCCTGGTGAAGTAATTTGTTTTCTGTTGGGATAAATGTGCAATGGAGGAATGGTTGTAAGCAGTAAGTAGTGTAGGAAAAAAAGAGTGATTTAAAAATGTAAAGAGGAAAAAAAAAAAGAAATGCAGAATGCCTGCATATTTTGAGTCGTAAAGATAAATCTTATTTGCAAGGGTTTTTTTTTTTTTTTAAGTTTTTTTTTGATGGAGGAGACTAGATTTATTGAGATAAAATTTGCATGCAATATAATGCACCCATTTTAACCATTTTAATTTCAGTTAATTTTGACAAATGCATAATAAACCTGTATGACCACTGCCACGCTAGAGATAAGGAACACTTGCATCATAGGTGCTTATTTTTGTTACTTTGGGCCTTAAGGTTTCATACCTACTGGGTAAAAATGCTTTGAGCCTTCTAAAAGTGAAATCAACTCCAAAGTGAAAGTGAAAAAAGTGAAAAAATACAAGTATATTTAAATGTTATTTAAGTCATTTCAGTGCTAATAGAATAACCTTTGCATTTCTTTTCTTAAATCTCACACATGACCCCTCAGCAGCAGTTGGCTACCTTCAAAGTACTGCATCCGGGATCTAACACTTTAACCACTTTCACCTATTTCAGGCCACCCTCTCTGGACTGTGTTATTGTCAGTAGTCTCCTGCTTCTACCTTTGTTCTCCAGTCTTAACACAGTGGCCAGTGACACTGTTAAAATATAAGTCACGTCAAAAGTCTTTCAAATGTTTTCCATCTCATTCATAGTAAAAATCAAAACCTTTACAGTGGCCTACAAAGTACTACATTTTCTGAATCCCCTCCCCCAAGTAATACTTGGTTGGCATTTATCTTTGACTTCCCTCAGAACTACTCTGTTCCAGGGGCGCCTGGGTGGCTCAGTGGGTTAAGCCGCTGCCTTCGGCTCGGGTCGTGGTCTCAGGGTCCTGGGATCGAGCCCCGCATCGGGCTCTCTGCTCAGCGGGGAGCCTTCTTCCCCCTCTCTCTCTGCCTGCCTCTCTGCCTGCTTGTGATCTCTCTCTCTGTCAAATAAATAAATAAATAAATCTTAAAACAAAACAAAACAAAACAAAACTACTCTGTTCCAGCTCTTGGCCTTGCTTTCCTCCCATAAACACTCCATGCCCACCTCAGGCTCTTTGTATTTGCTGTTTACTTTGCTTGGAAGGCCATTACCTTCAGATACAAGGCTTCTGCCTAGGCCCCTTTGGAGTCTTTTGTTCAATTTGCCTACCTTCTTGGTGAGGCCTGACCACCATATTTTAGTAGTTCCTAGTCTTTCCCCTACTTTATTCTGCAAAGTACTTAACCAACTTTGAATCTCTGTATAATTTGTAGTGACAGTATTACCGTTTATCAACTGTAGGTAAAAACTGATAAACTTTGCTTTTGGTTATAAAAGTTTATTCTCATTTTCACATGTGAAAACAGAAGTACATTTTGTAAAAAGTATTGATACTCTTATTTTAGGATGTTTAAAATGAAAATTAATATTTATCAGTGATCACCAGAATTGTAGTTTTCTGGCCACAGGAGGGACCATTATCTTACTAAGAATACCTTCACTTTATGAAGCTCGCCTGTGAATAAGCAAGTTGTGAACGGTGCTAAATGAAAGGGCCATAGAACACAAAAATTAGAAGTGAGTGGAATGGATATATTGGCATAAACTAAGACATAATCTGGTTAATTTGTACAGAATGAATTATACATTTAAAAGTCATGAAATAGAATTTAAACACCAAGAATATAGGTCTTAAAAAATAATACTTATAGCTAATATTTGACAATAAATGATTCTGGAGATGAATTCAGGCTCCAATCTTTGTAAATATTTTGAGGCTAGGCACTGGGTCATTGCTAGCATAGTATTGGCACATGGGAGCTTCTTAATAAATTGGTTTACTGATTCATTCATTGATTTATTTATTCAACAGGTATTAATATCAACTGCCCTCCTAAGAAAGTGCTGAGATAGAGTATTATAATGATAATAGAAGAGTTTCTGTAAGTAGGACAGTAGCCCTCTGTTAAAAGGAGATACACTCCTGCCCCTTTTATATAGAATATTTGTTTTTGTTTTTGGGCAAAAAGTTTTATAAAAAGATTATTTAAAAATTCAACAATTCTACAGTCATTAATTAGTTGCATTTTTCCTTTTTAATTTATGCTGATACTTAATATTTTAAAGTATTTGCAGTAGCTTATTTTCTAAGTGTATGAAATCCTAGGAATTTATTTTATTTGTAAAGCTTTCTAAGTATTTTAAGTGAACTGTGTTTTCTGAAATTGAAGTTTAGATTTTATAGAATATTGTATTATCCTAACTAATTAAGTCAAAAGAACACTGAGGAAGAACAGCTCTGAGTCTGAAGGACATGCTTTTCTAAGACCATTTTATTTATTTATTTATTTATTTTATTTTATTTTTTTTAAACATTTTTTTTTTTTTTAAGATTTTTATTTATTTGACAGACAGATCACAAGTAGGCAGAGAGGCAGGCAGAGAGAGAGAGGAGGAGGAGGCAGGCTCCCCGCTGAGCAGAGAGCCCGATGTGAGGCTCGATCCCAGGATCCTGGGATCATGACCTGAGCCAAAGGCAGAGGCTTTAACCACTGAGCCACCCGGGCGCCCCTCTAAGACCATTTTAAAGAAATGTCTAATAAACAGGTAAAAAGATACTCAACCTCCTTAGTGGTTAAGGAAATGTTCATCGAAGTGAGAGCATTTTTTTTTTTTTTACCTGTTAGGTTGTTATAATTTAAACACTGATTTATTCTAGCAATGGTGAGGATCTGAGCAAAGGGCATTCTCATACATTGGTGGTGGGGATACAGATTGGTACACTAGCTTTGAAGGATGACTTGGAGGTAAAGTGTAGATACATGTAGTACTAATCTATACAATAGAATTTCTTGCACAGTGCATAGATTTATATGTCCAAGAATGTTTAGCATTATAAGAGGCAAAATGTTGAATCAACCATCCATATTGAATAAATAATTATTGTATGCCTGTATTATAGTAGTAGAAGTTAATGAACTGATATGAAGAGATGTTAATGATAATTGAGGGAGAAATGCACCTAACAATATAGTATGATTATATTGTTTGCAGAAAAACACAAATAATTATATATTAGTTTGTGTATAGAAAGGTATTTAGAAGAATACAACGATATATACCAAACTGTTGGGATTAGGGGGCGAGGAAGTGGAAGACATGCACTTTTTATCTTCTCTCTTCTGAAGGGTGAGTAAATGAATGTATGAAACACAAATAGTAGAGACAGATGTTCTTTAAAAGCTTCAAACAACTCTAGACTCCTTCAGTTACAAAGAGTGTGGGGGGAGTTTTTCCTAGTGTCTGACAGAGATATCTCCTGTTGATCAAATCACTGCTATTTAATGCCATTACTGGTATGAAATCACTTATTTTGGCCGCTTTTTAAAATTGGTGCATGGAATCTTCCCAGGACATCCTAATGTAGTTTTTTTACTTTTTCTAATAGTTTTGGACACTCAAGTATGTTGATGAAACTATAAAATTTGGTGGTAGGGGAGTCTTAAATATTTATATTTGTTTAAAGGACAAAATTAAATTTATTTTAAGTAGTAATATCACAAACCAAATGAAACAGTTCACTGCATTCTTGTATTAAAAAAATTAGCTTCTAAAAAAGAAAGTTAGCTTCTGATTCTTGAATTTCATTCATTTATTGAATATCATTCAAGAATGGTTAAGAGGTTTGCTTTTAAGTTTACCACAAACTAGGACATTTTTCTTACTGTCACAATTTGTATGTTCTCTCTGTATCTGAGTGGTTAGTACAGGTTAGTATGTGACCTTCTGTCAGGAGGTTTCTTCTCTCTCAGGTTTATAGTTCACTGAGACATTCATTTGTCCTTGAGGAACTGGCCAACACTGAATCAACAGATACTGTGTAACTTTGTGCATTTAGTTTTCAAGGTGCTGATGTATGTAAAAAAATGAATGCCTCAGAACATTTAAAGCAAAAAACTGTTAGATAATCTTCCTGGATTCTGAGTTTGGTTTAAAAAAAAAAATTCATTGATGTTTGGTATTTAGTTTTTGGATATTAACTGAACCTCAAAATTTTTTTCTTCCTTTATATGTATTCCCATATGATTGTAGGAGTCTATCCTGAATTTAGATCGTGTACATTTTGGGAACTTATTTTAGAAAAGATCTAAGTTTTAAAAATTCTCAATGGACAGACAGAGAAAAGAGGGTCTTTGCCAACTCCTTTGGGTAAGAAAACTTTAGAATTTTGCAGATACTCTAAAAATGAAGGCCAACAAACCAGGCATATCAAATTGCAAAGTTTTCAAATAAAATGATTTGTCATGATTTTTTTCTTTAGACCGCTGCAGTAAGAATGTCTTTTCCCCCACATTTGAATCGCCCTCCTATGGGAATCCCAGCACTTCCACCAGGGATCCCACCCCCACAGTTTCCTGGTTTTCCTCCACCTGTACCTCCAGGTAAGTTTGTGGATACTGTTGTTTTTTGTTTGTTTGTTTGTTTGTTTGTTTTAATTTATTTGACAGAGAGAGATCACAAGTAGGCAGAGAGGCAGGCAGAGGGAGAGGAGGAAGTAGGCTCCCCGCTGAGCAGAGAGCCCAATGTGGGGCTTGATCCCAGGACACTGGTATCATGACCTGAGCTGAAGGCAGAGGCTTTAACCCACTGAGCGACCCAGGTGCCCCTACTGTTGTTATTTTTAACTGTACTTTTGTCATTATACTGTTAACTTTAGGAAAATGGTACATACGTGACTGTGTTTTAGAGTGAAGATGTTAGCACACTTCTGTAAATGTGGTACCTTATTTTCCTGTGACAGTACTTTTCATATCTGGCTGAGTATCAAATTTATCTGTGAAGATTTTTCAAAAACACCTTTATTTAAAAAGGAAATGCGTATTCCAATAAATACATACTAATTTGTACGATTCAGTAGTTAAAAAGGTATACAGTGAAAGATTTTGCTCATATTTCCACATAAGCATTGTTATTATTCCCTTAGCAAAAGAGGGAAACAAAACAGGCTCATTGGTTTCTTTATCCTTTCAGATAGTTTTTAATGTACATTACAAGCTGCTGTAAGTATGTGTTTGTTTTTTTTTTTCCCCCTCATAAAGAAAGAGGGAGAGCGTGCACGCATGTGAGCAGGTGAGCCAGGAGGGAGGGACAGAGGGAGAGAGAATCCCAAGCAGGTTCCACACCCAGTGCAGAATCTCACACAGCGCTTGATTATATGACCCTCAGATCACAACCTGAGCTTAAATTAAGAGTTGGATGCTTAACTTACTGAGCCACCCAGGTTGCCCCTAAGTATACTTTTATCCACTGTTTTAGTTTTTTCTTTCCTTTTTTTTTTTTAAGATTTTATTTATTTAGGGGCACCTGGGTGGCTCAGTAGGTTAAAGCCTCTACCTTCGGCTTAGGTCATGATCCCAGGGTCCTGGGATTGAGCCCCTCATCGGGCTCTCTGCTCAGCGGGGAGCCTGCTTCCCTTCCTCCCTCTCTCCCTGCCTCTCTGCCTACTTGTGATCTCTCTCTGTCAAATAAATAAAGAAAATATATAAAAAAAAAGATTTTATTTATTCGACGACACAGTGAGAAAGGGGGAGTGGAGAGGGAGAAGCAGACTTCTGGCAGAGTTAGGGAGCCCAATGTGGGGCTCAAGTCCAGGACTCGGGGATCATGACCTGAGCTGAAGGCAGATGCTTAAGGACTGTGCCACCCAGGAACCCCCATTTTTCTTTTCATGAAGATGTATAGCAGCATCTATCTGTGTGTATATATCTATCCATCTATCTATCTATGTATACATACACACTATTTTGCCTCTTGCTTTTTTTTTTTAAGATTTTATTTAATTTATGTGGAGAGAGATCATGAGCAGTGGGGAGGGGTAGAGAGAGAAGCAGACTTCCCACTGAGCAGGGAGCCCTATGTGGGGCTCGATCCCAGGACCCTGGGATCATGACCAAAGCTGAAGCTAGACACTTAACTGACTGAGCCATCCAGGTGCCCTGCCTCTTGCTTTTTTATGCTTGACAATATATCTTGGAGAGCTTTCCAAATTACCATATAAAAACTTCCTCTCTCCAGAACTCTCAGGAAAAAAAAAAATTTAGGTTCCACTCCAATCCACAGATTCAGATCCTCAGATATTGGAGTCCAGGAATTTTTTTTTTTTTTTAAGATTTTATTTATTTGTGTGTGAGAGAGAGAATTTGCACAAGCAGGCAGAGCGGAGAGAGAAGCAGACTTCCTGCTGAGCAAGGAGCCTGAGTCGGGGCTCAATCCCAGGACGCTGAGATCATGACCTGAGCCGAAGGCATTAGCTTAACTGATTGAGCCACCCAGGCGTCCCAGGAATTTTTATTTTTAGAAGTTAACAGTTTTTAACAGGGGATTCCTAAACATCTATTTAAGCATAGCTCAGAGGACACACATTTGAGAACCATTATCTTAAGGTACATAATTAACATTGCTTGGCCTAGGAGAACAAGGGTTTTTCCTTAGGTTTATGGGTGGTAGTTAGATATTTTTATATTTTAGTGGGACTGAAAACATTTTATACAAAATCAATTTCCCTTCCAAAAGACCACATCTAAGAGCTCTTAATTTGTATGTTAAGCCCTTCCCCCACGTAGAACCTGTGTAATTCAGGCTGAAATCAGTTAATGCTCCTGTAAATTATCCAGAAATATTTTGTTTGAGGAAAGCTTTACATCAGAGACCTGTTTTTAACCATTGGATGATCTATTTGAAATTATAGTGTTTTTCTAAAGAGTTTGATTCTTGAGAAATCAACAGTACATTGAAGTTGACTCTTAAGATGGATTGTTAATTCATAACACATATATTCTAGAGGCTCAGCTTTGGGGCCCTCCTACTCCTAGGTCAAGTGTATGGCAGGCAGAGAGAGAGAGAGGAAGGGAAGCAGGCTCCCTGCTGAGCAGAGAGCCAATGCGGGGCTTGATCCCAGGACTCTGAGATAATGACCTGAGCGGAAGGCAGAGGCTTTAACCCACTGAGCCACCCAGGCGCCCCTAAAGTCGTTTGAATTTTTAAAGAGCAAACACTAAATTTAACATTTTCTGATGAACATTATATCAAATTGTTAAATGGAAGTAAAAGAATGAAACCTGTTTTTCTTAAGACTGTTGGCTGCATAGTTTTTTTAAGATGGGACAGCAGACCCCGAAAGCAGATTGTCAGTTTCTCTTCTTGGTTGCTCAGTGCCTTATTAATGTGGGCATTTATTCAGCGTGGTAACCTGTTAATTCTGAATCTGTTTACAGCAGCATACACTATCATTTCTGTTTAGGGAAGTATATTTAGATGATAAAGCAGATCTTAGTTGCAGTTCATTCTGCATTCTGTGTGTAGCAGTAATACTTTAAAAGGTAAATAATGAAATAATATGGTAAACTAGGATAGTAATTCAAGACCATAATACCCATATTCATGTATAATTTTCTTGTTTTGCCTGTTAGTGCAATTCTAAGTGTGATGGTCACGTTCTATGTTAAATTAGAAAATTGCTTTGAAAAAGAACTATAAATTTTCTCTAAAATGTAATACATGTTTATAGAAAAAGGAAGTTTTTTTTCCATACAGTTCCTAAGAATTTCCTTCTCCAAACATAACCTTTCTTATCAGCTTCTAGTGTGTAACTGTCCAGAGACACATTGTACATATCCTGGTGTGTTTGCTTATGTTTACCCTTTCCCCATTTCTCTTTTTTTAATAATTCAACCAGTACTACACTGTTCACTCCGCGTACTTTTGCTTCTTTTCACTTCAGCATGTGTAGATCTTTGTAATGAGTACTAATACATTTTCCACTGTGAATTCTCTATTGTATGGTATTAGTAAATTGAGGTAGGAAACATAACTGTAAAACTTTAAGTAACTGTCAGGACCCCTGGGTGGCTCAGTCGGTGAAGCATTTGCCTTTGGCTCAGGTCATGATCCCAAGGTCCTGGGATCGAGTTCCACATCAGGCTCCCTCTGCCTGCTTCTCCCCCTGCTTGTGCTCACTCGCTCTCTCTGACAAACAAATAAAATATTAAAAAAAAAATACGTTTTAGTATTAAAAAGGACAAAGCAGTGGTGTGCCTGGCTGGCTCAGTCTGTACAACATGCAACTCTTGATCTCAGTGTTGTAAGTTCGAGCCCCGTGTTGGGTGTAGAGCTTGCTTAAAGAAAAAAAATTTTTCCCCACTGTCTTTTTCTGAATTTTTCTTTATTTTTATTTTTTTTTTGAAGGTTTTATTTATTTATTTAAGAGTGGGATAGAGAAAGAGAAAGTGCACATGTGTGTACCAGCAGAGGGAGAGGGAAAGGGAGAAACAGACTTCTTCTGAGCAGGGAGCCTGATGTGGGACTCCATCCCAGGATCCTGGGATCATGACCTGAGCCAAAGGCATTTGCTTAACTGACTGAGCCACCCAGGTGCCCTGAATTTTTCTTTAGTAGAAATTTTACCTGTGGAAAAGGTGCCATCTAGATTACAGTTGATAAAGGGGGTGGGGGACTTTTTTTTGTTTTGCAAAGTTAAAAGTGAAAAATTAAGATACATGGATTGATGAATTACAGTTCTGAGCATCCATTGTATTGAAGTGCTAAACATAAGTAATCTTAGTCAGTCTCATAGGTGCTCTAAAGAAATTACCTCGGGGAAAATTGAGGAAACTGCAGCTTAAAGAGCTTGCCTAAGATTGCATAGTTAGATGTGATAGAACCAAGTTGTACCCAGGTTTGATTCTGAAGTCTTTTTTCTTTTCTTTTTTAAAAGTTTATGTACATATTTAAATAATTTTACACCTGATAAGATTTAAATAATTTTTACACCTGTAAAGATTTAAATAATCTTTACACCTGACACGGGGCTCGAACTCATGACCCTGAGATGGAGAGTCACAGGCTTCTCTGACTGAGCCAGCGAGGTACCTCTGTGTTTTTTTCAATTTTGTGCAATATTCTATTGACTACATTGTTTAAGAATCCTTATTTTTCTCATTTAAAAGTTAAAGTTTTATTTTTTATTTTTTATTTTATTTTTTTAAGATTTTATTTATTTATTTGACAGACAGAGATCACAAGTAGGCAGAGAGGCAGGCAGAGAGAGAGAGAAAGAGAAGAGGAAGTAGGCTCCCTGCCAAGCAGAGAGCCCGGGGCTCAATCTCAGGACCCTGAGACCACGACCCGAACGGAAGGCAGAGGCTTTAACCCACTGAGCCACCCAAGCGCCCAAGTTAATTAAAGTTTTATTGGAAAATAAATGGATAATGTTAAATATTTAAGAATTTATTACCAGTCTTAGCTGGAGAATTCTCTTAAATTGAAGTTAAATTTGAACTGAAGAGAAATTTCAGAACTTCCAGAGATATACTTTTAAAAAAGCATTTTAAAATTTATATTAGAAAAGTAGACAAATCGTTCACTGATTTTTGCCCTCATTGCATTCTTCTTAGTGCTCAGTTGGCAAGATGTTTTCATTAGTTATATACACAAGAACACTCAGTACAGTAGTCACTGGTTGGTAAACAGTGTAGTTGAAAACAAAAATGTGGATATTACTAGCCCATTGACCCCTCTTTTTTTTTTTTTTTTATTTTAAATATTTATTTCTTTGTCAGAGAGAGAGAGCAGAAGCAGGTAGAGTGGCAGGCAGAGGCAGAGAGAAGCAGGATCCTCAATGAGCAAGGAGCCCGATGTGGGGCTGGATCCGAGGACCCTAGGATCATGACCTGAGCCGAAGGCAGCCGTTTAACCGATTGAGCCACCCAGGTGTCCCCCATTGACCCATCTTAAACCCTCAGTACATCCAACAGACGATTGTCTTAGAGATTTTCTTTGACACTGAGATTACTGGTCATATTTTTTGCATTTTTAAAAAATTTTTTTGAATTTTAAAAATTTTAAAAAAAGATTTTATTTATTTGAGAGCGAGAGCATGAGAAGGAAGAGTGTCAGAGGGAGAAGCAGATTCCCTGCTGAGCAGGGACCCTGATGAGGGACTTGATCCCAGGAGTCCAGGATCATAACTTGAGCTGAAGGCAGTTGCTTAACCAACTGAGTCACCCAGGCACCCTGATTTTTGTTTTTATTAAAGAAACAGCAATAACAAGATTCTTTCAAGGTTTCTAGATTAATTTCTCATTGGATACTTTTTTTTTTAACTTTTAAAGGATTCATTAATACTGTGTTTACTCATTAGTGAATCTGTATTTGCATAAATTACTGGCTTTCATGATGTACTGAATCGGATGAACATGAATCAGTATCTGTCCAGATTTTTTTTTTTTTTTAAAGATTTTATTTTTATTTATTTATTTGACAGACAGAGAGAGATCACAGTAGGCAAAGAGGCAGGCAGAGAGAGAGAGGAGGAAGCAGGCTTCCCGCTGAGCAGGGAGCCCGATGGAGGGCTCGATCCCAGGACCCTGGGATCATGACCTGAGCCGAAGGCAGAGGCTTAACCCACTGAGCCACCCAGGCGCCCCTGTCCAGATTTTTAAACTCCTGAGACAGAAGTATGCTGTAGTGGTAGTCTTCTTGCTTTTAGTTGTATAAGTTTATATAGACCAGCCTGTACCACATTGCTTTTGAAAATAAGGCATTCATTAATAATCTAATTTTCATTAGTCATATGTTTCTACATAAATAAACTGTGAGTGAGGATACCTATTTATGTGCCATATAATATAGAATATAGTCATATTTACTTGTATTCATAAGATTTAATGTGCTTCTTTCTTAGGGACCCCAATGATTCCTGTACCAATGAGCATTATGGCTCCTGCTCCAACTGTAAGTATAATTTTAAGGAGGAAGAAGGAGATACAGTAGTGTTACTACATTTATTTATTTATTTATTTATTTAAAGGTTTTATTTATTTATTTGACAGAGAACACAGCAAGAGAGGGAACAGAAGCAGGGGGAGTGGGAGAGAGAGAAGCGGGCTTCCCGCCAAGCAAGGAACCTGATGTGGGATCCAGTCCCAGGACCCTGGGATCATGACCTGAGCTGAAGGCAGATGCTTAAGGACTAAGACACCCATGTGCCACATGTGTTAGTGCATTTAAAGCTAAAACAAACAAACAAACAAAAAACCTAATAAATTATTTTTAGTATTTAGAAGAATAATAGGGAGAGCATGTATATCATACTACTTGAGTATCATTTTCACTCAGCTATGCATAATATGCAATTGCCTTTAAAATAGGGTCCCTAAACAGTTTATGATTTACCTTATATTCTCTAGACTCTTATACTTGTTATATTAGATTTAGGTCATTGGGTCTTTCATCATTCCCTATTCTTATCTTGGTCCTGGGAGATAGAATGATCAAGGCACGTTTAATCTCATAAATGAAAAAAAGAAAAAAAGACTAGAAATGATCCTTATAGAAACTTAAATTTTGAAGTGAAATTTGTGTTGAATGTATTCCATTCTTTTCTCTCATATACCTAAATTTTTAGCCCCTTCCAAACTATTTTTTTCTGTCCTCTGGTATGATATCTTCAAGCTTTGTAAAGTTTTCTTGAAGTCTTTACTCTGCTAAAGTGTTTTATTATTCAGTCTTTTTTTTTTTTGTTAAGATTTTATTTATTTGACAGAGATCACAAGTAGGCAGAGAGGCAGGCAGAGAGAGAGGAGGAAGCAGGCTCCCTGCTGAGCAGAGAGCCCAGTGCGGGGCTCGATCCCAATATCCTGAGATCATGACCTGAGCTGAAAGCAGAGGCTCAACCCACTGAGCCACCCAGGTGCCCCGTTTTTTTGTTTGTTTGTTTTTTTGTTTTTTTAAGATTTTATTTATTAGAGAGAGAGAGTACACAAGCAGGGGGAAAAGCAGGCAGAGGGAGAAGCAGACTCTGTGATGAGCAAGGAGCCTGATGTGGGACTCGGTCCCAGGACCCTGGGATCATGACATGAGCTGAAGGCAGCTTCCTAATTGACTGAGCCACCCAGGCGTCCCTATTAATTCAGTCTTCTTAAGTCTTAATTCTTTACATTCATCAAAGCTTTTATATACTTTAAGCTGTAACACATGAATGAATAATAACCCTTTTAACTATTGTTTAACCAGGATTTTTCTTTGAGTTAAGTGGTAGAGTATCAAACTTCCTCTGGAAGTCCACTGTCGGGGGGCGTAGATTTCATTACTTTAATTGTTTTTCTATCCATGGGTTTTGAAAAGGGAGGAAAGGGAATGTTACTCATTTTAAAAAGGAGATGGTAACTCTGTGGGCAAACAGGAATCTGCTGTGAGGCAGACCACTGAGAAAATATGGTTCTGCAGACCAAGGGGGAGTCCAGTTTTTCTTGCATTGGATACCCACTGTTTGGCTGTTTTGGGAAACCTCTACATGGCAGGTACTCTTACTCTCTTGCATTTCAGTATAGGAAAAGGTGGGACTCGGGGTTGGGAAGAGCTCCCTGAGTTAACCGTTATTTATTCAGTGCCTACTGTTCATGTTTTGCTAAATTTAGTTCCAGATACAAAAATGAGTAGGATTGGGGCACCTGGGTGGCTCCGTGGGTTAAGCCTCTGCCTTCGGCTCAGGTCATGATCTCAAGGGTCCTGGTATCCAGCCCTGCATTGGGCTCTCTGCTCGGCGGGGAGCCTGCTTCTGCCTCTCTCTCTGTGATCTTCTGCCTCTCTCTCTACTTGTGATCTCTGTCTGTCAAATAAATAAATAAAATATAAAAAAAAATGAGTAGGATTATTCCTTCCTCTGGGAAGTTGAAAGTTATAAAGGGAAAATAGTAATTAACGGATAAAAGTAAAATTTAAGTGTTGGAGAGTGCTATGAGTGTTCAAATGCTCTATCAGAGGATTGGGGGGATAATTAAAATTTGTGCTTACTTAAAAAAATTTGGGGAGGCTTATTTATTTTAGAGCAAGCACAAGTGGGGGAGGGGCAGAAGGAGATGGGGGCGGGGAGAAGTGGAATGACTGCTGAGCCGGGAGCCTGATGCGGGCTGTATCCCAGGACCCTGAAGTCATGACCTGAGCTGAAATCAAGAGTCAGACACCTAACTGACTGAGCCAGCCTGGTGCCCTGGAAATTTGCTTTTATATTAGTACAGAGTAAAGTTGTGAAGAAGCTCCTGGATATATTTGATAATTTTAAATGATTTATGATGTCTTAGACATTTTAGAATTAGGTCTTAAATATTAAAAAATCTTCATCCAAGTTATTTTTATTTTCTTTTCAAAGATGTTTTCAAAAGGTAATTTGGGGTGCCTGGATAGCTCAGTTGGTTAAACGTCTGACTTGATTTTGGCTCAGATCATGATCTCAAGGTTGTTGGATCTCGGGTCGCTAGCCCCACATCGGGGCTCTAGAGGGAGTCTGCTTGAGATTCTCTCTCCCTCTCTGTCTGTCACTCCCCCCTCGTGTGTGTGTGTGCTCTCAAATCTTGTTGGGAAAAAAAAAGAATAAAAGGTAATCTAATAATTGTCATGAATAAATTTGCATTAATGAAAAATGATAGAAGCTTTAGATTAAATATATAGAACCTTTAATAATGTGCTATATAGTTAGTACTTTAAAATTGTTTTTAGACTAAAAACATGTTACTTTAAACATGATAGGAAATTTAATTGCCTGTTCCAATTTTATTGCTTTTTTTCATTCTAGGTTTTAGTACCTACTGTGTCCATGGTCGGAAAGCATTTGGGAGCAAGAAAGGATCACCCAGGCTTAAAGGCTAAAGAAAATGATGAAAATTGTGGTCCCACTACTACAGTTTTTGTCGGCAACATTTCTGAGAAAGCCTCAGACATGCTTATAAGACAGCTCCTTGCGGTAAGTTAAACGGTTTCTCACTTTTAAATTTTATTGTTACGTATTTTAAATATATGAAAAAGCAGGAAGAGGATTCTGATTATTTTATTATTTTGAAAAATTTCAGTTCTGCAAAAAAGTTGAATGAATAGTAAAATGAACATTCTTATAACACATTTTTGCCACATGCTTTCTGTACACACACACACACACACACACACACACACACACAAGCTTTTTTTCCTCAGTAATTGGAGAGTAAGTTGTGACATGACATTTCCATCTCTGAGTACTTCTCGTGTCTCTTAAGACCAAGGACATTCTCCTATATGATCATAAAACCATCATCACATTTAAATTTAAGGCTGATACAGTATTGCTTTTTTTCCCCCAGTACAGTATTGTTAACTAAATATACCTATTTTCTATGATTCATTCAAGGATTCTACATTGCGTTGAATTGTCATACCTCTTTAGACAACTTCTGTAATTCAGAATACCTTTCTTTTTCTTTTTTTTTAATGTTTTATTTATTTATTTGACAGAGAAACAGCTAGAGAGGGAACACAAGCAGGGTGAGTGGGAGAGGGAGAAGCAGACTTCCAGCAGAATAGGGAGCCCGATGTGGGGCTCAAGCCCAGGACCCCAGGATCATGACCTGAGCTGAAGGCAGAGGCTTAATGACTTAGCCAGCCAAGTGCTGCCTGTCTTTTTTTTTTTTTTTTTTTTTTGCTTGTTTTGTTTATGACTTTCATGACATTAACATTTTTTGAAGAGTCCCGATCTTTTGCAGCATGTCCCAATTTGAATTTGACTATTTGCTCATAGATGCAGAGTAAGCATTTTTTGTTCGAATGGTTCATGGGTGATGTCCTCAGTGCAGCATAATTAGAGGTACATGGTGTCTCTTGGTCCTGTGTTTGGTAATGCTCAGTTAGATACATGGTGGTCCCATCTCTCTGTTGTGAGGTTACCTTGTTTCCTTTTGTCATTAATAAGTAACCTCTGGGTTAATGTTTTGAGACCATTTGAGTTGTGTCCTGTTGAACACCTCTCCCTGGCAGCTTTTAAACAATGATTTTAGCATTTAGTGGGGAATTAATTACTTTTAAGGTTTTTATTCTGAGGATAAACAATAAGTTCTTTTGAGTTCATGAAGTCAGTGGTTTTCCTTTTTGTCTTCATTGAAAAATTGTTACCTTGGTGACAAATGAGCATTAACTGAAATAACACTGAATGATTTTATAATGAAAAACAAGAGTACTGGTACTTCCTCTCTCCATAATCTCCACTGTTTTTTAGAGAAGTTATTTTTAAATCTTTTCCTTCTTGATTTTCTTGCTATTTCTGTTTTGTAAGTTGTATGATCCTTATGTTAAAACATGTTTAGGGGCGCCTGGGTGGCTCAGTCAGTTAAGCGGCTGCCTTCGGCTGGGATCGAGCCCTGTATCCAGCTCCCTGCTCAGCGGAGAGTCTGCTTCTCCCTCTCCCTCTGCCTGCCGCTCTGCCTACTTGTGCGTGCACTCTCTCTCTCTGTGTCAGATCAATAAAACCTTTTAAAAAAACCAAAAACATGTTTAGAGGGGCACCTGGGTGGCCCAGTTGGTTAAGCATCTACCTTCAGCTCAGGTCACGATCCTGGAGTCCCAGAATTGAGTTCCGCCTTGGGCCCCCTGCTCGGCAGGGAATCTCCTTCTCCCTCGAACCCTCCCCCTTCTCATTCTCTCTCTCTCATTCTCTCTCTCTCAAGTAAATAAAATCTTTAAAAAAAAAATGTTTAGAAAATAAACACCACAAAACCTAGCTTTGTCGCATTCAGTACTGTGATACTAGCTTCAGATGTTTTTCCCAAAGAAATAAAACATTACAGTTGGCCCTCATGCCCACTTCTTTCTTCCACAGAGGTAATCATCAGGGTCATCCACTATCCTAAATTTGGTGTTTATCATTCCTTTGTGTATTTTTTACTTTTATTTTTATTTTTTTAAAGATTTTATTTACTTGAGATTGAGAGAGAGAGAGGGGGAGAGAGCACCAGCAGGGGGAGCAGCAGAGGCAGAGGGAGAAACAAGCTCTCCACAGAGCAGGGAGCCTGACACGGGGCTTGGTCCTAGGACCCTGGGATCAATACCTGAGCTGAAGGCAGATGCTTACACCCGGGTGGCCCTGTTTTTTACTTTAATTACATATTTATTCATAAAAATCCACAATTCACAGGTTTTTATTCTGTACTCCATAATTGCTTTTTTCACCTAACATATATATAGCTCTAGTTATTTATTACTGCTGTATAATGTTGCATTGTAGAAATGTACCATTAATTGTCAGTTTTCCAATGATGCTTAAATGGACTGTTTCTATTTCTTGATACTATGTTTTGTTGTGTTATTATTGGTGATATGTCTTCCTCAGTCACATGAAAAAAATTCTATCATGTATTCTTTTCGAAGTGGAATTTGAGTCTTAGGACATGTTTTCTTCAGTTTCACAAGATTATGCCAGTTTTTTCCTGAAGTGGAACATTGGGAGGACATTTTTTAAAAACCATCTTTATTGTGGGGCACCTGGGTAGCTCAGATAGTTAAGCACCTGCTTTCAACTCAGGTCATGATCCCAGGGTCCTGGGATTGAGCCCTGCATCAGGCTCCCTGCTCAGCGGGGAGCATGCTTCTCTCTTTGCCCCTCTCTCGCTGTCTCTCATGAAGAAATAAATAAAATATTTTAAAAAAGCCTATCTTTATTGTGATATAATTCATAGACCTTAAAATTCATCCTCTTATAATGTATAATTCAGTGGGTTTTAGTATATTCAGAAACTTGTACAAACTTCACCCTGTAATAAATTCCGGAACATTTTCATCACCCCAAGTAGAAACCATGTATTCTATAAGTCATTTCCTGTTGCATATGGCAACCACTCTTGTCGGTGTAGATTTGCCTATTCTGGGCATCTTGTATAAACAAAATCATAGAATATATATGGCTTTTCGTGTTTTGTCTTTTTTCATTTAATATATTGTTTTCAGGCTTCATCTATATCGTAGCATATATCAGTATCTCATTCTTTTTTTTTTTTTTTTTTTTTTTTTACTTACTTATTTATTTGACAGACAGAGATCACAAGCAGGCAGAGAGGCAGGCAGAGAGAGGAGGAAGCAGGCTCCCTGCCAAGCAGAGAGCCCGATGCGGGGCTCGATCCCAGAACCCTGAGATCATGACCTGGGCCGAAGGCAGCGGCTCAACCCGCTGAGCCACCCAGGCGCCCCTCTCATTCTTTTTTTATGACCAAATATTCTCTCTAATGGATATACCACATTTTATTTATCCATTCATCAGTTGATGGACAATTGAGTTGTTTCCACTTCTTGGGTATCACGAATATTTGTGTGCAGGTGTGTGGAGGAGATATATATACATTTATATTTCCTAGTTGAAACCTCTCTCTTTCCCTCCTCCCCCCCTTTTTTTTTGTTGTTTTCATTTTTTTGTTTCTTTTAAGTAGGGTCCATGCCCAGCTGGGCCCGAACACACGACCTTGTGATAAAGACCTGAGCTGAAATCAAGAGCCAGACACTTAACCAGCTGAGCCAGCCAGGTGCTGCAGAGCTGCTTTTTAAACCTGTTCCTGACCTATCTGCAGCACAGTGTTTTGTTTTTAAGCTTCATTCCTAAATTTATCGCTTCCCTTCATTTCTCATTTAAGGCATTCCTGGAATGTCTCATCAAGGATTGTCTTCAGATTTGAGTTAGGAATTGAAGTTTTTTGGGGGTACCTGGCTGGCTTAGTGAGTGGAGCGCATGTCTCTTTGATTTGGGGTTGAGTTTGAGACCCATTTTGGGTGTAGAGATTTATTAAAAATTTTAAAAAAAGGTTTTGTGTGCATAAGGTGGGTTTTTAAAATAGTGAGCATCGGGTTGCCTGGGTGGCTCAGCGGGTTAAAGCCTCTGCCTTCGGCTCAGGTCATGATCCCAGGGTCCTGGGATCGAGCCCCACATCGGGCTCTCTGCTCGGCGGGGAGCCTGCTGCTTCTGTCTCTCTCTCTCTGCCTGTCTCTCTGCCAACTTGTGATCTCTGTCTGTCAAATAAATACATAAAATCTTTAAAATAAATAAATAAATAAATAAAATAGTGAGCATCATTGTAGGGTAATTTAGCCAGCAGCTAGAGGTTTTGAATGTTAGTATACAGAGTTCTTCTCCCGAGGGCTGATTGGTTTCTCTAGAAAACTTCCACTTTCCTGCCTAGTGAGTATATGATTGGCTGCCTATATGGGGTTGGGGGGGAAGAACTGCATTGAAGTGTATCGTCTACTTTTACTTTCCTCCTTTGTTACCCGTTCTGTGTCCCATCCTGATCTTTCATAGCTGTCTGCTGCTCTGTATCCGAAGCCTGTTCTTTTCACTTTCTTCAGACAGCTTCATTCTGTCTTCCCTGAGGGTGGAGATTAAGTATAGTTGCCTGTAAAGCCTGCAGGCTGTCTTCTCGAGGGGTGAGGAGTAAGGGATGAGGAGTAAAGTCGTTGGCTTGAAAAGAACTCGAGGCTTTGATTATTCTATATTCATATTGTCAGGCAATCACCTGGTTTTGTTTGTTTTTAAGATTTTATTTGGGAAAGAGAGCACGAGGGATGGGGGTAGAGGGAAAAGCAGACTCCCTACTGGGCAGGAAACCTGCCCTGTGGCTTGATCCCCAGACCCTGAAACCATGACCTGAGCCAAGGGCAGACACTGAACTGACTGAGCCTCCCAGGCACCCCACAAGCACCTGTTTTTATTCAGCCTCGTGCTTCAGCCCCATTCTCTGCTGTGTGTACATTTTACCTCCAGTCCAGATGTTTTGGGGTTGTGGAATCAGTTAGCCTAATTCTTACGAGTACCTTCATCTGTAGGTACTTGGGAGTTATGGCCTTCTTTGCTCTACTGAATAAGTTCCCATCCTTGCATTTGTGTTTTTTCTTTTCAAAATTTTGTTGACTGCTGCTGTGGTTTACCCATATTATGTTTGACCTCATGGATTTTTATCTTTTATATTCCTAGATAATCATCATTTTATTGGTTTCTCTGAAGGGAAATGTGAAAAATTCATGCATTCTCTAAGCTTTGACAGGCAATCTTCAGATACCATTTCCCACAAATAACTTTTTTCCCTAACCTTCTAGTTTTTACTTTAATAATTAGAAATAATGTTTGGGGCGCCTCGGTGGTGTAGTCGGTTCCGAGTGTCCAACTCTTGGTTTCAGCCCAGGTCATGATCTCAGGGTCCTAGGATCGAGCCCTGTGTTGGTCTCCCTGTTCAGAGGAGTCTGCCTGAGATTCTCTCCCTCTTGCTCTGCCCCCCTCCCTGCTTGTGCATTCTCTCTCAAATAAATATATCTTTAGTAAAACAAAGAAATATTGTTTAAAAACTTTGAAAGTAAACAAAATGTAATGTTTTACTCTTCAGACAACCTGCCCTATTAATATTTCTGATTTATGGAAATTTTTTTCTTTACATAAGGTCTTACTATATTATCTGGAATTTTGTGTCCCATGTTATTTTTGCATCCCATGTCAAGCATTTTTCCATGTTAAAAGGGGCGCCTGGCTGGCTCAGTCAGTAGAGCATGCGACTCTTGATCTCAGAGTTGTGAGTCTGAGCCCCACGTTGGGTATAGAGATTACTTTAAAAAAAAATCTTTAGGGGAAAAAAAATCTTTAGGGGTGGGACACCTACGTGGCTCAGTGGGTTAAGCCTCTGGCTCGGGTGGTGATCTCAGGGTCCTGGGACTGGGCCCGGATCCAGCTCTATGCTCAACAGGGAGCCACCCCTGGCCCGGCAGCCCCCCCCCCCCCCGCCTACTTGTGATCTTTCTCTCTCTGTCAAATAAATAAATGAAATCTTAAAAAAAAAAAAGATCTTTAGGGGTACCTGGGTGGCTTAGTCGGTTAAGCGGCTGCCTTCGGCTTGGGTTTTGATGCCAGGGTCCTGGGATCAAGCCTCACATCGGGCTCCTTGCCCAATGTGGAGCCTGCTTCTCCCCTTCCTGCTATTCCCCTTGCTCATGCTTGCTCTGTCTCTCTCTCTCACTCTGTCAAATAAATAAAATCTTAAAAAACTGTTTTTAAAAAAGATTTTATTTATTTATTTGACAGAGATCATAAGTAAGCAGAGACGTGGGGGAGGGAAGGGATGCAGACCCCCTGCTGAGCAGAGAGCCTGAGGGCTCGATCTCAGGATTCTGAGATCATGACCTGAGCCGAACGAAAGCAGAGGCTTAACCCACTGAGCCACCCAGGCGCCCCAAAAAAGAAAAAAATATTTTTAAAAAGTTCTTTATAATACAGATGTATGTTTTGAAACATAATCTTTATGGATTCAATATTTACTTGAATTTACTGTAGTTTTTTAGTAAATATTATAATACTGGTAATTTTGTTTTTTTATGTATACATTTTGGGTAGGATAAATAATGCTGTAAAATTTCTAATTTATTAAAATGTAGTCAAGGGGTGCCTGGATAGTTCAGTTGGTTGAGTTTCTGACTCTTGTTTTCTGCTTAAGTTGTAATCTCAGTGAGATGAAGCCCCGAGTTGGACTCCTCACCCATCTCGGGGTCTGCTTGGGATTCTCTCCCTACCCCTTCCTCTCTGCTCTTCTTCCCATTCTTTTTCACTCTCTCCCCACCCCCAAAATAAATAAAATCTAAAAGGTAGTCAATTTTTTGCAAATAAGAATTTGTAAGAATTCATATTTTTCTTTTAAATGATGTATTATATATTTCTTTCATATAATAGATATGTGGGAATTGAGGGAATTTTTAAAAAATTAATAGATGTTACGATTTTTTCAACTTTTTGCTTGTATTTTTCTCCTGATGGAAATACCAGCTGTGTTCTTACATTCATTACTGATTAGTTGATTTGTCAGATGGTGATGATCATTTTTTGTTTTATTTTTCTCTTTAAGAAATGTGGCTTGGTTTTGAGCTGGAAGAGAGTACAAGGTGCATCTGGAAAACTTCAAGGTAGGTAATTTTTTCTTACTGAGATCATTTTAACTTGTGTGCTTAAGTCACTTGTTGCATGTTTTGCTCTCATTGCCCTTAACCATGGGAGTATTCCGTCAGCACTTCTTGTCTTCCTCCTTACTGGAATAGGATTTGGGAAGATTTAGCTGAGTTGAGATTAGAAAATGGAAAAGTATTAACAGGAAAGAGGTAGGAGAGGAAAAATTACTCAGACTGTTTTTTTACAGTGTTATTTTGAAAAGTCTTTTTTTTCTCAGCAGGAGTATATGATCAACATTCAACAATTAGGACTTAGGAAGAAAGCAGAACAGGTGGTGAGATGACCTGTTAGTCTTAGAAGCAAATTGTTCTTTTCATACTTGTTCATAAAAGCACCTGTTTGATGTGCATTCTTTTTTTGTTTTTTTTTAAAGATTTTATTTATTTATTTGACACAGAGAGCGAGATCACAAGTAGGCAGAGAGGCAGGCAGAGAAAGAGAGGGGGAAGCAGGCTCCCTGCTGAGCAGAGAGCCTGATGCGGGGCTCGATCCCAGTACCCCAGGATCATGACCTAGGCGGAAGGCAGAGGCTTTAACCCACTGAGCCACCCAGGCGCCCCAGGTGCTCGGTATTCTTTAAACAGTCATTCTTTAAACAGTATTTTTTATGGGAAAATTCATATGTAAAATTAAAACACAATAAACTTCTATATACTTATCACCTGGCTTTAACATTTATCAACTGATGCCCAATTGTGCTTAATCTGTACTCTGTCCATTTCCTCCTTATATTCTTTTTAAGAAATCCCAAGCATCCATCATTATGCCTATAAGTATCTTGGCATGTGTGCCTAAGACATAAGAGTTTTTTAAAAACATACTGAAAATGCTATCATAAGACTTTCAAAAATTAACTTTTTTTCTTAATATCATAAGTCAGTTTTCTGATGTCCAGTTGTTGCAAATGTCAAGTCTTTTAATAGTTGATAGAGGATCCAAATATAGTCCACACATTGCAATTGATTGGCATATTTTTGAGTCTCTTTTATTATTTTAAGTTCTCTCTTCGTTTGGAAATCATTGTGGAAGAAAGTGGTTCATTTGCTCAGTAGCATTTCTGGAGTGTGGATTTGCTGATTGCAGGTCTAATAGAATAATGTGCCAGTGCTTTTCTGTCCTCTGTATTTTATGTAAACTGCTTGTATCTTGAGACTCAATCAGATTTGAGTTTGCATGTGTTATTTTTGTTTTTCATTTGTAAGAATATTTTAAAGGCAGTGTTCTTCATCATGAGACACTTTTTTAAATTTTTTAAAATTTTTGTTGTAGCAGCTGTTGTCTATTCCTGGATTGGTTCATTCATTGGAGGGCTGCGAAATGCGCTAGTCTATTTTGAAGAATACTTCCTTTGAAGTACAAATCTTCCTTATCAGAATTAATTTATATAAGGAAAACAGGGTAAATGCTGCGGTTCTTTCATTTTTCAAAAGAATGAATTAATGTCCTTAGCATCATTTAGCTGTGACTTTTTTTTTTTTAAGATTTTATTTATTTGACAGAGATCACAAGTAGGCAGAGAGGCAGGCGGCGGGGGGAGGGGGCACGGGCTCCCTGCTGAGCAGAGAGCGCGATGCGAGGCTCGATCCCAGGACCCTGGGATCATGACCTGAGCCAAAGGCAGAGGCTTTAACCCACTGAGCCACCCAGGCACCCCAAGCAGTGACTTATTTTTTTAAAGTAGGCTCCACGCCCAGTGTGGAACCCAGTGCAGGGCTTGAATTTGTGACCCTGAAATCAGGACTGAGCTGAGATCAAGAGTCGGATGTTCCACCGACTGTGCCACCCAGGTGCCTCAGCAGTGACTTTTTTTTTTTTAAAGATTATATTTATTGGATATAGAGAGAGCGATCACAAGTAGGCAGAGCAGCAGGTGGAGAGAGAGGGGGAAGCAGGGTCCCCACTGAGCAGAGTGCCTGATTCAGAACTCGATCCCAGGACCCTGGGATCATGACCTGAACCAAAGGCAGAGGCTTTAAACCACTGAGCCACCCAGGCGCCCTTCAGAGTGATTTTAAAACAACAAATTTGACCACAGGTTTTTTGAGTGATGTATCTTAAGACAAAAGACTTGTCAATTAAAAAGAAAATTTCTATAATCATATTGTTGATGATTAATAGTCTTAAACCTTTGCACATGAAATATGAGATGAAGCAAGCCAGTAATTAATTTAATAGTCTATCATCCCAATGTCCTTGAAACTAAGGATTCTCAGTATGGGAAGGGGGAAAAATAGATACATTACAGAAAAAGTTAAATGAAAACCTTTAAGTCCTGAATGTAAACTAATGTGCACTGGAAAAACATAAAGGCAAAGACTAAACAAGTGTTTTTTGTTTTTGTTTTTTTTTTAATATTTATTTAAGTAATTGCTAAACCCACCCTGGGGCTCGAACTCATAGCCCTGAGATTGAGAGTTTCACGGCCCAAGATCAAGAGCTGCACGCTCCTACTGAGCCAGCCTGGCCCGCCAAGACTAAGCAAGTCTTATAATGAGTATACCTAATTCCCAGACTGTGGTTTTTTTAAAGCATTTCCCACTAAAAAGAACCAGAGTTCCTTAAAGAAATGGCTGATCCTAAGCATGGGACAAAAAAACTTCTATGGGTGCCTGGGTGGCTCACTCCTTATGGTTCTACCTTCAGCTCCGGTCATGATTCCAGTCTTCTGGGATCAAGCCCCGAATCAGGCTCCCTGCCCTGTAGGAGGCCTGCTTCTCCCTCTCCCACTCCCCCTACTTTTGTTCCCTCTCTAGCTGTCTCTCTGTCAAATAAATAAATAAATAAATAAAATCTTTAATAAAAAGAAAACAGAAAAAAAAAAAAAACTTCTAGATGACTTTATAGAGCTAACTTAAAACAATTTAAGCTTCACTAGCGAGAATGACAATTCTTATTAAATATAAGAAACTGAATATGCTTCAATCCTTAAGTTCAAATGTTTCTTAAAAAATGTCATTGCTGGAGCACCTAGGTGGCTCAGGGGATTAAGCCTCTCTCTATGCCTGCTTCTCTGCCTACTTGTGATCTCTGTCAAATAAATAAAATCTTTTAAAAAAATAAAATAAAATAAAATCACTCTGAATAGTTCATCTCTGTGTGTTTACGTCCTTAACTGTACATATTTGGATTCATTTGTTTTATTTTCAATTTTTAGGTTACTTTTTTTTTTTTTAAGATTTAAAAAAAATTTTTTTTAATTTATTTAACAGAGAGCGAGAGATCACAAGTAGGCAGAGAGGCAGGCAGAGAGAGAGGGGAAAGCAGGCTTCCCGCTGAGCAGAGAGCCCGATGCAGGGCTCAATCCCAGGACCCTGAGATTGTGACCTGATCTGAAGGCAGAGGCCCAACCCACTGAGCCATCCAGGTGCCCCTAGGTTATTTCTTTAAAGTGTTTGTCTAATATCTCTGGTTTAAGGGCATGGTAATAATGGTGAGACTAGTTATTAAAATTAAAGAGAAAAATTAAACTTATTAGGGTGAAAGGTCAGTACATTTGTAGTTTAAATTCTCAGAATTGAAAAGTGCTTGTGGGGTGCCTTGGTGGCTCAGTTGGTAAGGCCTCCATCTGTGTCCGCCTCCTCATTGAGTGGGTGGGGGTGGTTTGCCTGAGATTCTCTCCTCTTTTCCTCTTCCCCTCCTCCTGTGCTCACAGGCATGCACCACTCTCCCACACTGTCTCTAAAATAAATAGATAAATCTTAAAAAACAGGAGAGGTATCCTATTAAAAAAAAAAAAGGAAGTACTTATGATAGGTTTAAGGAGGCTGTTGTCACTAGCTCAGGAGGTCTGATGGAATGGATTCAGGAAATAAAAGACTCAGTTATGAAATTTGCTGCTTCTGGTAAATATTAGCACTTCTAATAGGTAGCAGTTTGCTTGATTAGAATTTTTCTTTCTTTCCCCTGGTTTTGTTTTCTTTTTTTCTTGTCATGGTTTGAGGGTGCTAAAGGTAAAATTATCAAGGGTAATTGAAGGAAAGGGAGGAGTGACAACATGAGTCATTCTATTAGAACATTTGGTCTCTGATGATTTTAATTTTCCATAAATATTTTGTTTTCACAACTGTATTGATATTTCACTAATTCTTTACATCCGTTTTTAGCCTTTGGCTTCTGTGAGTATAAGGAACCTGAGTCTACCCTCCGTGCACTCAGGTTATTGCATGACCTGCAGATTGGAGAAAAGAAGCTCCTTGTTAAAGTTGATGCAAAGACAAAGGCACAACTAGATGAATGGAAAGCAAAGAAGAAAGCTTCTAATGGGGTATGTTTCTACAGTGTTATCTTTTCTAGGCCAACTGTGTTCTTCCAGTGTAAATACTTCTTATACGTGAATCTGCTATGGGGCTTCACAAGATCATCCTCATCATAATATGTCCTTGTGGCTAAATGCAGGAGGGTATTTTTGTAGCTTATAGTTACTTTCAATCTTGTATCTGCCCATAATGGGCGGGTGACTGTTGGTGTTTGCTTGGTCCAGGTTGGTATGAGGGTAGTAAGGGAGGCTGGACAAGGTTAACTTTCCAGAGAAAACACTGGTACAGACTATTCCAAACAGAGCTAATTCATTAAGGTGGCTTTGTAAGTAAGTACAACAAAATATGTTTCAACCTACACATTAATTTTAATTAGTTGCCTTCTCTTTTAGAAGTACACAGGTTAACGCATCCGACTCTTGATCTCAGGTTAGGTCTCGAGCTCAGGGTCATGAGTTCAAGCTCTGTGTTGGGCTCAGTGCTGGACGTGGAGTCTTGAAAAAAAAGCATATCCTTGAAAAAAAAGTATACAGGTTCTAAAATAAATGAAAATAAGTCTTTTTACTTACCTCAGATTGGTGGCCATATTAAATGAAGATAAAGTAAAAGAAATTTTTACATGTTGTGTTGTATATATCATTACTCCTTTTCAACAAAACAAAAAATAACAAAAACCTGGGTGTATTTCCTATTTCCTTTTGGAACTTCAATCGTGAATGGATTTAAAGTAGGTTTATTGTTATTTTCTTGTTTCTACAAAAAAACAAAAAATCCTTTTTGCTGCTTTCAGGTTTTCATTCTCATTGGAAACAGAAACAGCTTTCTTGGTATTATCCCTCCCTCCTTTACAAATAACATTGTATATTCTTTGTAAAAAAATTCATAAAACAAACTATAAAGAAGAAATTAGGTACCACTTGTAATCCCATCACCATTAGGAACCACTGCAGACATTTTTGTTGCATATTTTTCCAGAGATTTTTCTGTGTATGAATATAGTTTTTAATTGGAGTATATGAATTTGTTTTTCTTTCATAAATACAGGATTGAGTTCTAAGTATTCTATAATTAGCTTTTTTTAGTTGTATCTTTTTTTGTACTTTTAATAATATTTTAACTGATTCTCTGCATTTTGTTTTCTCTCATCTATTACAGCATTGCTTACATTTCTTTCTTTCTTTCTTTCTTTCTTTCTTTTTTTTTAAGGTTTTACTTACTAATTTGACAGAGACAGAGAGGGAACACAGAGAGGGGAGGTGGAGAGAGGGAAGCAGGCTTCCCGCCTAGTTGGGAGCCCAAGCAGGAATCCTGATACGAGGCTCGATCCCAGGACTCTGGGATCATGATCTGAGCTGAAGTCAGATGCTTAACGACTAAGCTACCCAGGCGCCTCACTGCCTGTATTTCTAAAACTAATTATATCAACCCGCTTTTCATGCATCCTTAATGATTTTGAATTTCTTAGAGTATAAAGGCCATATTCTTAGTATGGCATTCAAGGCTTACTCAGTCTCCCTTTCTGGTTTTTCTCATTAGTCATTCTGCATGTGTCAGTCATGTATCCCTAGAAACGTCCTTCGTTCTTTGCTGACATCTCATGTCCTTGGTGCCCATTCAAGCTCCCTGTTGCAATTCTGTCCATATAGTTCTAATTACGATGTTATTTAATTCAAATAGCCGTCGTCAGTCCTACCTTCGATTTCTCTCAGGCAGAATTAATTCCTCTTCCCACTTTGTTCCCAGGTTTTTACTGCTGTTAGGTCAGTGCTTTGTAACAAATATTGTTGGTATCTCTGTCTCTCACACCCCTTATATCCTGCTTTATTTCCATATCTCTGATTACAAGATACAAAGGGCAAGTAAGTTCACAGACTGTGTGTCTTCCTCTTGAACCTGCACGGAACCTCAGACAGTGTCTTGCCCATAGCAAGAATGGAATGATCTTCATTGAGTATCAGTTGCAGTTACATTGTTCACCTGATGATCATTCTGTCTTTACCTAGCTTTACAAAGAAATAATAAAATGTAGTTTCTGTATAGTATAAATTATATCGCAGATGAGCAGTGTAGCCTGTCACATCAAAAAAAACAACCGTCTGAAATAAGACTTTCCAGATTTTCCTTGCAGTGGTAGCCGAATTATTTAAAATAAAGGATGGAATTAAATGAAATTAATGTCTTCACAGTTTTTATGTAGTTCCCTGAGGGTCCTTTCTTCCCCCTTTTGTTTAATCATCAACTGGTGAGGTGGTTTGATTTGTAACATTGCAAATAATGTACTCTGAGCATGAAGTAAATGACTTCACTATTTATGTAAATAAGGAAATGCACAATTGTGTAACTTTAATTTGTAATCACTATTAGTGAGAGGAACCATGATTTAAATCTGTTTATATCTTCAAAAATGGAATTGGGGGGGGGAATGGAATTGGAGCTACCTCCAGTAAAAATAGAACAACTATTTCAAAACAGATGAAATTTAAAACATTAACAGACATGACTTCTGGGTGTGCATGGCATGGTACCCAGAGATACTTGAAGCCACAAGCAGACATGATGTAATCTGCTGGTATGTCCATTTAACTTAACGATATTGGTAAAAAGAAAAAGTTTAGCTGTTCTATCAGATAAAAAAATTTTTTTCAAATAACTTAAGCAAATATAACTGTTGTGGGACTAGATGACAGATTTGTCATGATTTTTCAAGATAAAATATGAGAGGGTATTGTTCTTTCTTCTTGATTGTTGACTGTTGGGAGAAGTCTGGAAAACAGTGACCTAAGATGGATGATGTGAGCAGAGACCTCGAGGAGCTAGCTTGTGTGGTGCTTGAGTCAGGCATTTTCCTGTCAGTCAGAACACAGAACATAAGTAGTTGTGTAGTTCTCTTTGACTAAAAAAGAAACACAAACTTTTCCTTCTGTGATATATCTGATTATTTTTGGTTTTCTTACATTAACAATTGGGTAAGAGACTTTGGCTAATAAGCTCTCCTTCTAAAAATGTACATTTCCCTTATGGATCAAGGGGCAATAGTTATTCAGAAGATGATGTGAATTCCTTCATTCCAACTGCTTTATTTCTAATTTAGGTAAGACTAGCTGTACTGATACTTATATTTGATTTAAGATGGTGGTGATGGGGAATTTGGGGGCTTATGGGTATTTTTAAGTGACTAGGCCTTCAGATTTATATAATCCCTCTTTTATCTTTTTTTATTTGTTTTTAACAGTTCTATTTATTTGAGAGAGCATGTGCATGCACAAGTGATGGGGGAGGGGCAGAAGGAGAGGCCGACTCCTGCTGAGCAGGAATGCAAGGCTGGGACTCCATCCCAGGACTCTGGAATCATGACTTGAGCTGAAGGCAGACACTTAACTGACTGAACCACCCAGGCACCCCACCCGGTTTCTGCCTTTATGCTTAGAGAGGCATGGAGATGTTGAGGGTTCATGGAAGGGAATTTAGCATGTAGGGAAAATGCTGATGACAGACTTGATGCTCTCTCATAAAGTATATTTTCATAATAAAGAATTTAGGTATCAATAGCTGAGGGTTTGGGTTGAATTGGCCCATGTATGTCTTAGGACCTAAGTTTCAGTGGCAAGTTAGTGTCGGCTTAATTTTTTCATTTAAAACCTGTGGAGAAGCATAGTATTACTGAGGGGATTTTTGTAAAAGCTGCACAAAGACCTTCTTGGGATATATTACTGATTTAAAGTAAAAACATATCACCACGATTATCGTTTACAATGTTTTTGGTAAATAATTTTAACAGATATTTACAGTCCTTGGGTGAAGCTGCTCATTTTTATCCAAGACACCAAGTAGTAAGTTGGCAGAAGAAGACTGGATAAAGGGGTGCGTGGGTGGGTCAGTTGGTTCCGTGTCCGACTCTTGTTTTCAGGGACATAAGTTCACCGCTTTGGGCTCCATGCCCAGTGTGGAGCTGACTTTAAAAAAGAAAGATTAGATGAAGAGTAAGGAACTCAGAGTAGTTTTAAAATACTGCACATTATGACTTGACTTGAAGTTATCTGTAGCGTAACTGCTTATCGTATTTGCTAAATGCTTCGGGGCAAGGTGATTTCTTTTTCCAATATCGAATTATTTTTGGCTTCTAGCATAGTATCTTGCACACACAGTAGGCTCCTAAGAATTTGTTGAGCCAGGAGTGTGTGGCTGGCTCAGTAAAACATGAAGCTCTTGATCTCAGGGTTGTAAGTTTGAGCCCCACGTTGGGTGTAGCAATTACTTTTACATATTTACTTGACAGAGAGAGTGCATGAGTGGGGCGGAGGGGCGGAGGGAGAGGGAGAACAGACTCCCTGCTGAGCAGGAAGCCAGATGCTGGGTTTAGTCCCAGGAGCCTGAGATTATGACCTGAACTGAAGGCAGACACTTAACTGATTGAGCCACCAGGGCAACTCAAGAAAATACTTTTAAAGATTTTATTCATTTATTTGACAGAGAGAGAGAGATCACAAGTAGGCAGAGAGGCAGGCAGAGAGAGGAGGAAGCAGGGTCCCTGCTGAGCAGAGAGCCTGATGTGGGGCTCAATCCCGGGACCCCGGGATCATGACCTGAGCTGAAGGCAGAGGCTTTAACCCACCGAGCCACCCAGGTGCCCCAAGAAAATATTTTTAAATAAAAAAATTTTGTTCAGCAAATCAAGAAATAAATACCTGTTGAATTAGTATCTGTTAGAGATAGCTTTCAGACTTATGAAATTATGAAATATGAAATCAATGCTAAGTTGTATTCAGGAGCCACATGGTGTGAAACTTATCTCAAATAGTTGCATGCATTGTGCCATGCAAGAGCCAGTATTTATGCAGAAGAGCATTGTCTTATTTGTATCTGAAAATGCACATGGCATATGTTTACCAACTAAACTAATAAGTACCTTAAGATGTATGTGTGTATAGTTTTAAATTACAAAAAGTTTTGTACATGTCTTTATCTTGTTGCTTGTAATACTTTCCCATCTTTCCCAATTTTAAAAAAAGACTGGTTGAGAGTAATGAAATTATCCAGAGTTTTGAGGTTATTCTCTAAGTTGTGTAGTTTGAACTGAATTAATTCCTTAACCAGGGGCCTTAAAATAAATCTAAGATAAAAGGAAGAATAGTATAGTATGTCAGAAGTCAGTAATTTTTTTTTCACATCAATACAATTACGTTCGTCTTTAAAAAAAAAAAAAAAACTAAAGTCCTACAAATAGTTACTTACTTATGAGAAGCATTACCACATGAATTTTGTGTTATTTTTTATAACGTTACCTGTGCGGGTCATGGGAGAAATACTTGGGCAGTATTTAGAGTTGGTTCCTTCTAAGTATATAAATATATGGATTTTGTAAGTGGTGTACCACATTCCCACAGAGCAGGAAAAAGATGTCAGACCTGCCACAGGGCAGGTCAGATGCTGGCCTTTTTGTGTTTTTTTGATGCTTGGCGTTTTGTTGTATATAGCTGCCTTGTGTTTTACATTTGTTAACCTACACATACATTTTTTAAATTTTAAATGGTGACTGTTACAGTATACATAGAACTGTATTTCGCTTTTTTCACATAATGAAATTTTCAACTGTGTTTTGGTTAATTTAGTAACCACCATTAGTTTGTGGAAGTATTTGAGAAAGAATCTGAAAAACTGAAAGCTTGGCAGGTATGTTGTGTAGTGTGTTTGTATTGTGGTTTGATCTTCCTGTAACTGGTCAGAGGTTAGATATTAGCTATTAAAGGAAAAAAGGAAAAGAAAATGATGAAGTATCAGTATCTAAGAAAAATCAGTAAATGAAATGTAGTTTTGTGAAGTTAAGAACAAAACAAGTTTACATTTAATAGGACTACACAGATGTTTTAGAGAAAAAATGTTTGTTTTGTGTACTGACTTATTTTAGAATGATTTTCTTTTTTCTTTCTTAATTTTTGGATTTCTTTTTCCTCTTCACTCCCCTGAACTTGCCTTGGTTGTTTTTTGTTGTTGTTTTTTTTTTTAAGACTGCTAGGCCAGAAACTGTCACTAATGATGATGAAGAAGCCTTAGATGAAGAAACAAAGAGAAGAGATCAGATGATCAAAGGGGCCATTGAAGTTTTAATACGAGAATACTCCAGTGAGCTCAATGCCCCCTCACAGGAATCTGACTCTCACCCCAGGAAGAAGAAGAAGGAGAAGAAGGAGGACGTATGTGTTACTGATTTCTGACAATAGTCCTTTCTGTGGTTTACATTTTATGGTGTCACTCTTGGGCTTTCATTGCATTGCAACTTTCAGGGAGAAAATGACTTAAGATTTATCACAGTACACCGTTAAACCTAATTTGACCATGTTTTATCAAGTAACTCACTTTTTTCACCAAAATGTTTGTTTTATATGTTTGAAATATACTGGCATGGATGCTTATGTTTATCTGTGGATTCAAATTACATAAGGAAAAAGCCCTTGACTCACGAAGTAGATGCTGTTATTAAGGGACAAAGGAAGTTTTGTTTTTGTTTTGTTTTTGTGGTTTTTTTTTTTTTGGCCGTGAAGGGGCTGGCTTTGTTTTGCCTTACTCCTGGATATTGTTCTATCTCTGCTTCAAGCAGCACACCAGATATCCTTCACTGAAGATTTTTACCCATTCTTTAAATCTTGCCATCTTTTCTTCTAAACCATATCGTGTTCCCTCTATGGACAGTACTGCAGTTGAACAACTTCTTCTTCTTCTTCTTTTTTTTTTTTTTAAAGATTTTATTTATTTGACAGAGAGATCATAAGTAGGCAGGGAGGCAGGCTGAGAGAAAAGAGGAAACACGCCCCTCGCGAAGCAGAGAGCCTGATGCGGGGCTCGATCCCAGGACCCCAGGATCATGACCTGAGTCAAAGGCAGAGGCTTTAACCCACTGAGCCACCCAGGCGCCCCTGCAGTTTAACTTCTAATTGGAGGGCAGTTGAAGAGTAGGGCAAGATGAAACACTCCTCCCCAGTGTATTATATTTTATTACTCTTTGCCAGCCTAAGCTAATTGAATAGTAGGGAGTCAAGGTTAAAAGAAAAAAAAATTTTTTTAAAGATTTATTTGTTTGAGGGACGCCTGGGTGGCTCAGTGGGTTAAAGCCTCTGCCTTCGGCTCAGGTCATGATCCCAGAGTCCTGGGATCGAGCCCCGCATCGGGCTCTCTGCTCTGCAGGGAGCCTGCTTCCTCCTCTCTCTCTCTGCCTGATTCTCTGCCTACTTGTGATCTCTGTCAAATAAATAAATAAAATCTTTAAAAAAAAAAAAATTTTGAGAGAGAGAGAGAGAGAGTGAGCGAGCTCGAGGGGAAGGGGCACAGGCAGAGGGAGAATCTCAAGCAGATTCTGCCCCTAGCTTGGAGCCCCAAGCACAGCTTGCCTAAGCTGAAACCAAGAGTTAAACCTTAACTGACTCTGCTATCCAGATGCCCCAAAAATGTTTGTTGTTGTTGTTGTTGTTGTTTTTTTTTACATTCATTTCTTTTGGGTAAATTTAGAGAAATTGTGGGAAGTATTCTTTAAAAATATTGGGAGTATGTTGTGTGCATGGATTTTATGTGCCATGAAAAGTACCATGAATCATACAGTATGGTTTTTAGTATTGGGTAGTTGTGGTTCATTTTATTGAATTTGAGTGCCTTATTAGGTTATCTTCAGTTTGCTTTGTGGCCCAATATATTTTTATTACTTGGCTTGTTTTTCCTCATGTGGTAATAAAAACCTGTCTAATAAAATGCCAGTCATTGGGAATGGGAATTGGTAGTTCATTAGGTATAGGGTAATTGAGGTTTGTCGAGCTCGTTCTTCCTCCCCAGCATTACCAAGAAAGGAGAAAGTAGCTAGAGTATTTGTTTGATAGGTGTTTGGAGGAGAGGATCAAAGAGCTCCTGCTCAATGGCAGGAATTATGGGTAAATTTTGTTGGTATGATTATTTCCAGAGGATGAAGGAAAAAGTCTAGCTAGTGTGAGACTTTCCTTATTCCCTTGCCTGAGGTAGTTGGAGGGTGAGGAGGTGGGTGACAGGAGGTGTTAAAGAGAGTAAGTGAAATCTTCTTTATTAAGTAATTTGAAATCAAGAAATGTCACAGAAATCTTACTTTGCTTACATTATAAACATACAGTGAATTGTTGTGCAGAATAATGAAAACTCTCGCTCTTTTTTAAATCTTTGTGGATTTTTCCGCAGATTTTCCGCAGATTTCCAGTGGCCCCACTGATCCCCTACCCACTCATCACTAAGGTTCGTTTACATTACAAGGCACTGACAATAAATGTTTATTGCTAATGGCCAGACTTTTGATTCTTTTTCATCTGATTTCTTACTGTTGAACTTAGATCACTAGTTTTTTATACTATATAAATTATTGACTTCTTTTTTGTAAGATGGTACAGAATATCTTTTAGTATCTTTGTGTTGATGTGGATTAATCTTTAATGTATTCTCTCCTATCCCTTCTGTCCTTTTAAGGAGGATATAAATGCTATAGAAATGGAAGAAGACAAAAGAGACCTGATATCCAGAGAGATCAGCAAATTCAGAGACACACACAAGGTAGTATTCTTGTTTTTTTTACTTGATACCAATCTAGACTTTTTACAGAACCCAAAGCAAACAGACAAAAAGAAAAAAAAAATCAACCTTACATTAGAATATAATTTAAGTGCTTTTTATAGGTTAATTAATATTTAGAGACAAAGAAACAGAAGAACAATACCATATTAAAGTGGTCCTGGACATATTGTACTTAGTTTTTTCAGTTACTGACTACTCTGCAGTCATCTCACTTTAATATGAGTAAAAGTTAATTTTATTTTTAGATTTTAACATAAACATCAAGGTCAGATTTACATTAGATTCAGTGGGGCAGCAGGATGACCTACACTGTAGTTTATTTCTGGGGCAGTTATTTAACTTAATCTTAGGAAAATCTTTTCTTTAGAGCTGAGATTAAAATTTAAGATATATATTTGTGTAGATTTAAGTTGAGAGGGGGAGATTTTAAAAAGTAGGTCAGTGGTTACCAGACTTACCAAATTTTAGATGCATGGAAGAACTGTAAATTCCCATAAAGCTAATCTATTCATTGACCCCCACCATTATGATAGAGATCATATGGTGACTAATGCAAGATGAAACTCTCAGCTTGGAAAGTAACAAGGAATAGGATGTAAGTATGAGCTTCTGTTTTTTATTATATTTATGGATGCCCCCTCAGAAAAATATGCAAAGGGGTAACTGGCTTGGAAATGGGTATTTGTGCATAGTAAATCCCACTCACGAGTTTTGCCTATTGAAAGCTTCTCTCAATAACAGTGCATCTGTGAATGTTCGCTGGTGTTGAAGGTGATGCTTACGAACGGTAAAATGCAAACACGGCATGAAATGTATTTTGTTGTTAGAGATAAGATGTTACTGGTTTTTACTCTTAAGACTGAGTGATCTTTAACTCAGTGAAATGTTAAGTGTTCATTTTTTCTTTATTTAACCTTAAACTTTTTCTTACTGCTTTCAAAATCCCAAGTTGACAGTGGCATTGAATCAGTGCCGCTGAACACTTACTATCCAGATGCCCAGCCCTAGCTCACATATACAGTGCTTTTTCAGGAATTAAGTATGTCTAAAAGCACAAATAAAATTTTCCCAAACTAATTTTGAGTTTAAAAGGTAGTCTGTGGGAAGTCATTTTCGAGGAATACTTTTGGTTAGGTTCCAGTACTCAAATTCAGGGTCTGAGTAAGCTTGAAAATGGTATACAGTTGTGTGTGTGGTTTACCCCCTTGTTATTTGTTAAACCCTGTCATGTCATTGGTAAAGTATATGAGAAAATTGTGTTTTTAAGAATATAATTCAAAAGATGATTGCTTCAGAGTTTGAGAAGCTGTCAGGCATTTGACTGCCTTAGACTTACTTCACTATGGGGGTGGACGGGATGTTTTTCCCAAAATGTACTTTTAAAAAAAAGATGAAAATGAAAAAACAGTTCTTTTTGTTGGGTGGTATGGTTAAAGGGAACATTTGAAACTCCAGTAACAAAAAATGAGCTCAGTGAACCTTTGCATGTTTTGGTATGAGTTTATTAAATAACCACGGACTGTCAGGGTATCAGCGTGGCAGGGGGCGTCCATTTACAGCACGGACGAGTCTGAAGAGAGAATAAGGTAAGATTTATGATTTTTTTTTTCCTGTCCTTTCCTCTTCATTATTTCATTACTTCCTTACATCTTTTTAGACTCTATTTTCTTTTTCTTTAGTCTTCGTCTTAAAATATAAATATGTACGTATGTGTGCATCTACTTAACCGCATACATAGTCTTTTTTAGAAATGCATTCAGTGTGGGCCAGATTCACTCACTTGTTCATTTACTTAGAACAAAACTTTTGAAATGAGTTCTGAAACAAATTATTTACATAAGTGGAAGTATACACTACTAAGAAATAAGTAATACAGTGAATAAGCAAAAGTAAAAATTAAATTCTATAAAACAAATTATATTGGAACAGCTAAAATAAATCTGTAAGTATTATCTCAGAAATAAATATTTCTTTATAAGTGTATGACACTGAGGTAAGTTTTATGTAGTCTAGCCTCATTTTATAATACAAATTTTTATAGTTCTTTAGAACTGTTTCAGAAATGAGAATTTGCCCCTTTAAATAGCTTTCAGTTTCTGTCCTCTTTCTGTCATTTCTTTTCTCTTCTCTTTGTAACCTCAGTGTATTCAGTATTGGCTTTGCCTACATTCTCGTTTGATATAGACTGGCACAGCAGCTGAATATATTGATTTCTCATGCATTAGTTTTTCTCTCATAATCCTCTATCAGTTCTCTGAGCCATGAACAAGAGAAAAAGTATAACAGGTAAGATTACTTTTTAAAGTTGTTTTAAATGCTTTACATGACTGAGAAAAGACAAAAGAATGCACATTTTATTATTGCAGTTTAAATTTCATTTCGGTGACACTAAACATGGAACCAAAGGGATAAATGTATTTTGTTTTTGTTTTGTTTTTCCTGTTTGGGTTTTTTTTGTTTTGTTTTGTTTTGTTTGTTTTTGTTTTTTTTCCTGAGTTTGTGTAGAAACCGTGTGGTACACTGGTAATCTTGTCAGGGTACAAACTTGGTCTGACTTTGTTATTTGGTTTATTTGTGAACCATGTACTTGCTCTTCCTCCCAGAAACATAGCTTGTAGGCAAGGTTAATCCAGTGTTGGCGATCCATGTCCTAGCACAGCATCTGTAAGTTCATATGCAATCGTTCCTTCCAAGGATGGATTTATCACTGTTGATATATTTTATTGTCTTATAGGCATAATGGGCATAAATATGTTGCTTTTAAAATTAAATGAAATGAGAATATTACAGTTATGTACATTTTTGCTTGAAGTGAGTGATTTTCAGACTTTTTGTATTTGGTGGGCTATCCATCTTGTAATGGTGGGAGTAAACGTTTCCATTTAGATAATAGGGCAAATATTGGCTGAATTCAGCTTATCTTTTGGAGGGTGGGCAAACCAGTGGGTAGAAGATTATTTAGTTGTATTACAGCAACCTGACTCTTCCTCCCCCACCTCCCCTTGGAAATCTTCAAGTAGTAACCTGTAGGTAATGGGAAGTCTGGGGTTATATTTAGTATCAATAGTAAATCAGTAGTCACACTGATTTACAGAAAATTCATAATGAGGGGAATTACATTTTAGCTAAGTGATTATATTTCTAGAAATTATTACAAATCATCACATTCCTCATGGTCATTTAGTTATTAGATAATCATTGAGTGGCCAACCACACTTGACACAGTCTCCCAGCATCCAAGATTGGAGATTCCTGGTCTGTGTAGAGTATATGGGTTTGCACGCAATCTATTTAGTGGTGTGATTGCTTCAGCTTAATTTGTCCAGTAAAACCACAAGTACTTAATATTAAAGTGCCAGTGGTTTGGTTGTTTTTGTTCCTTATGTTGGGCATTGCGCCGGGAAATATCTGAATACTGGAGCTACAGAGTTAACTCTAAAAGTACTTTTATTGGTTTCTAGAAACTGGAAGAAGAGAAAGGCAAAAAGGAGAAAGAAAGACAGGAAATTGAGAAAGAACGGAGAGAAAGAGAGAGGGAGCGTGAAAGGGAACGAGAAAGGCGAGAACGGGAACGAGAAAGGGAAAGAGAACGTGAACGAGAAAAAGAGAAGGAACGGGAGCGGGAACGAGAACGAGATAGGGATCGTGACCGGACAAAAGAGAGAGACCGGGACCGGGACCGTGAGAGAGATCGAGACCGCGATCGGGAAAGGAGCTCGGATCGGAACAAGGATCGGAGTCGATCAAGGTAAGGCTTGGTGGAAGTTACTGTTCACTGATGCTTTAGTAGAACTGCGGGTGGTCAGTCTCTACACTGTATTTGTGAGGAGAGGACTTCCTCAGCCCAGTCGAGCAATAGTTTTCAACTTCAGGGTTAATTTCTAGCTGAAGCTAGTTTATACACAGACCCAGAACACAGCCACTGTCACCCAGTGTTCTGGGCAGACATGAGTCCCTCTTTTCTCCCTGGGTTGTTGGGCATCTTTTCTGTTTATCATTTCATTGCGGTCCTGCATTCTGGGAGATCATCACTAGCACCCCTGCTTTTAGCCGGTTGTCTTTCCTTGGTCCTGTAGCCCCTATGGCCACGACTCACCTAGCTTTCAGTTTAGGACTCCTTGTAATTTTATGTTGCTTTTAAGTTTTTTTCTTTCTTATATTGACTTTGTTTGATGAATCACCTCAAATTCCTCATGAAGGAGTAAAGCAAAAATGAACAAAGGAAGAGAGTGGGGAAAGAAGAAAAGCTCACCTTTTTCTCCCAGGCTGGTTTTCAGATAATGCATTTCCGTGTTGCAAATTTTCACCTGATTGTAGCTGAAAGGAGGTCCACTTTTAGGCAGTCCCATCAGTTGCTGGAACTAGAAATCCAGTGTCCTTAATCTTTAGTGGGCATTAAAATCCTTCCCTTCCTTCCTCTTCTGAAATAGCTATTGCCCTCTTGAGTAACCATTTTCATGAATTTGACATATATACAATCAGTGTATGCATACTTTTAACTATGGATGTGAATCCATAAACACTGTATTGTGTTTAATTATATCCATGGCATCATACTACATATATTCTGCAGTTTGGTTTTACCACTCTCAAATATTTGAAAACTTTTCGTTGCCAGTAGTATAGGTCTAATTTATCCATGCAACATGCCAAAATGCTCTTTTCTCCACACCTTTGCCAACACCTTTATTCCTTGATCACTAGTGAAGAAGGCTGTCTTTTAACATGTTTGTCAGCCCTTTGTATTTCTTGTGTCCATGTGTGTTTGTTTTCTGAGATACCGATAAGCATTAACATTGAATTTAAAATGCAATTCAGAATTTGAGACTAGAGTTACATTGTGTCATCCTGATAAATATAGAGAAGTTTACAGTTCTGCAGAAATCAGGTACTAATTTCTGGCCTATGAGTTTCTGTATATTATTCTGCATATTATTTTGTAATATATGTTGCCCTCCTTTCCCTTGGTTTATAAAGGAAAACTGAAAGACTGACAGATTTTTAAAATCTTTTGTTTATATAGAGAAAAGAGCAGAGATCGTGAAAGGGAACGGGAGCGAGAAAGAGAAAGAGAGAGAGAACGGGAACGAGAAAGAGAACGAGAGCGAGAGAGAGAACGAGAAAGAGAACGGGAACGAGAGAGAGAGAAAGACAAGAAGCGTGACCGAGAAGAGGATGAAGAAGATGCTTATGAACGAAGAAAACTTGAAAGAAAACTCCGAGAGAAAGAAGCTGCTTACCAAGAGGTAAATTGAGGAAATGCTTTTATTCTTTATTATTATTTTTAAAGATTTTATTTCTTTGAGAGAGCAAGAGAGAGAGCAGAAGAGAGGGGAGAGTCGGAAGCAGAATTCCTGCTGAGTAGGGAGCCTGATGTGGGATTTGATCCTGGGACTCCAGGATCATCACCTGAGCTAGAGGCAGTCACCTAACCAACTGAACTATCCAGGCACCCCTATTTTTTTTTTTAAAGATTTTATTTATTTGAGAGAGCATGCAGCCGTATGCGTAGAGGGAGAGGGTGCAGCAGGTCCAGCAGGCTGCCGCTGGTCATGGAGCACAATACACAGGGCTCGATCTCACAACTCTGAGATCATGACCTGAGCCAAAACCAAGAGCTGTGCACTTAACTAAGCTGGGCAAGTGAGCCACCCAGATGCCCTAGGAAATGCTTTTATTAAAGCTTGCTACTCAGCTTAGTCAAAAATTTCAGAGCCCTTTGCATACATTTGTATTATTAAATTTGACAATTTCTTTTTTAGCGCCTTAAGAATTGGGAAATCAGAGAACGGAAGAAAACTCGGGAGTATGAGAAAGAGGCTGAAAGAGAAGAAGAAAGAAGAAGAGAAATGGTAATATTCTAGATTTTAAATCAGTGATTTTTTTTTAGATAACAGGTCAAATTCTTGACCATTAACTAGATTAGAGGTAACTGTCATTAAAATGTGTAAGTTCTCAAGACAATTTAATTTGTTGGCAGAGGGACAAAGGAAGGGGTAGAGAGAGAATCCCAAGCAGGCTCCACACCCAGTGAGGCTGCATCTCATGACCCTGAGATTGCCACTCGAGTTGAAATCAAGCGTCTGGACGCCTGGCTGGCTAAGCCACCCAGGCAACCCTACATAATTTAATTTTTATATATTTTAAGTAATCTTCAGACAATTCCAGTACACCAGAATCTTTTTTTATGCTTAATTTTCACATTTTTGCTGACTATAAACAAAATTATCTCTTGGCGTACCATTGAAGTAAGTCTGCCATAGAGTAATATATAAAATGAGAATTTGTAAAACGTTCTTTGGTTAAGAGTCTGTATGTAGCATTTTGAATTTGAAGAAGCATTAATAGATTCTGTTCTGTATTAGTGTGGCACATGGGGATGATGGGAATAGTGTCATGAGAAGACCTCTTTTGTTTTTCATGTTTTTATTTAAATCCACTTAACATACAGTGTAAAGAACTGTTTTCATAAATCACAGTTACTGTCTTCAGTATATAACGTTTATGAATTACAGTTTTTCCTTATGCTACCTGTTAACTACATTACGGTCATAAAAGTGAACCTTGTTTTCTGCGTTTACACTGTTTGATAAACTGTAATAGTGAAACCATTGGCACAGGTTGTTACTAAGAAGAATGACAGAAAGATTTTAGCATAGTGTTTGCTTGAGTAGTATGTTCCATGTGTTCTCTCTTTGCCAGAATTCCATGAAAGTTTCTTTATCTCCAGTTTGGAGGTTATTCTTCCTCAAACTTCACTGATGTTAGAAATCTTCTCATATAGCTTTTGAACTTAGGACGTAGAGGGAGTTTTTTAAGTAGCCAAAAGAGGGTGCATGCAGCAGCTGGATAGATAGTGTGGGTTTTCTGTATAGTAGATCTATAATGCCACAGAATTATTGACAGTAATTTCAGCTCCCCTGAATTGTAGCTCCCATTGTTGTCTCCTTCTTTTTAAAGATTTTATTCATTTATTTGAGAGAAAGTGAGAGGGGAGAGGTCAGTGGGAGAAGGAGACTCCCAGCTGAGCAGGGAGCCCGATGTGGGACTCAGTCCCAGGACTCCAGGATCCTGACCCGAGCTGAAGGCAGTCGCCCAACCAACTGAGCCACCCAGGTGCCCCCATTGTAGAATTTCTTTTTCATCCCTAGGTTAGAAAATAGGAAGAGAATAATATGAAAATGATTATTTGAAGAGTTGTTTGCCGTGAACAACATCGTGGGATAGATTTGAAGTGATTCTGCTTTTTACATGCAAATCTGAATTTTCCTATTATTTTGTGTTTGAGAGTTTTGAAAAAGTACATTACAAAAGCAGTTAAACTTGCTTATTTTATAAAAATACTCAAGTAACAGAAGTAAATGGTGTAAAAAGTAAAGGTTTCTACTCCTCAAGACTGGTAATTTATGTTTATATTTTAGTATGTATCTCATGGACTTTCCAGTGTTTTATTTAAATATTTGTAAGTTTTGTCATTCCTACTTAACAAATCTGCGCTCGTTCATTTGACACATTTTGAGTGTAAGTTATATCCTAGCCTTGGTGGTTGTGCTAGGTACTGGGTATACAGGAGTAACTGAATGCTTCTAACTTTGAAACAAGTGGATGGTATTGTCAGAGAGGTAGGTAGTTACTGTAGTGTATGAGTGTTTAAGATATGAAAAGGTGTGTTCACAGTATTTTGAGAGTGCAGAGGAAGCTCTGGGGATGGGAATTGGTGACGGAGAGATGTTAGATTTGGGGAGTCTCTACAGAGAGGTAATATTGAACTTTGCAATATATTAAAATCTTACTGTAGTCTAAATTTTTACTATATTCAGAAACTTATCTCCTTTGTATATAGGTATAATAGCTAGAATAGTTGGTAGAGTAGATAAGGATATAAGAGTATAAATAAATATTTTTATGTATTGCATATTTGTATGTAATTGTTAGCTATAAGTGGTATTAAATATAAGTTATTTGAAATTCCGAAAATAAGAGAGAGTCCTATACTTTCATGTTTTGTGTACCCAAAGTTAGATTGATGCATGATTGTGACTTGACTTTTCAGTCCTGCGTTTTGTAAAAACTTTTCTTTAGCATTATCTATCTACAAATGTAAAATATTTTTGTTGAGTTAATAAATTCAATAAAATAACTTTCAGTTTTGTTTCTTGGTATGCTCTGTTTTCATTACTGTACTTTGAAGATTATATCCAGAGAGGAAATACTATATGTGTTTATTTTTTTTTTCCCCCAGAGATAAGTTCTAAATCTGGCTTGTTTTATGAGTAAAAGATAAAATATCTCTAATGCTATTTAATATGCAATGCACATGAGAATTATAAAATTCAAGTAGTATGGATAAGAAACATCTATTTCCAAGAAGGAGAGGATAATCTATATGAATTTCATGTTAATTTTGCACACTTTGTCTTTTATTTCCTGAAAGGCAAAAGAAGCTAAAAGACTGAAAGAATTCTTAGAAGATTATGATGATGATAGAGATGATCCCAAATATTACAGGTAAAGAACCCTTGCTTCATGAGCTCATACTTTGAGTGTTTTACTAGGTGTATTTTCTCTACCAAAGGGTGCAAGTTTGGAGTAAGAAAGAAAATCTTAATATTCTACCTTGTAATTACCTCCATATTTGGTATGTTGTTTTGGGAGTGTGGGGGAGAACTGTTGGAAAGGGATCAACAATTCTATCTTTGGTGGGGTGGTGGTCCATATAATAATATTAAAACAAATTAATTTTTTTCATGTGTTTTATAAAGGTCCAATTTTTGTAGCAAGTTGTAACTAGTGTTAATAACTATTCAAGGTGGTCTAAAAATTTTTGCATTCAAGAATGTTGCAAAGCAAACCCATTGCCATCTCATCTTCTACCCTACTGATATATTATTGTAAAGTGAGAGTTGTAAAGCCTGCCTTCCCTCATGTCTTTGTTCCCATGGCATTTCTGAACTACTCTTATTCTAGCACCTTGGCAGTCTGGTAAAATTGTTGGCTCTGTTCTGCTTCCTCCATTCCAAACTATAATTTTTGGAAGGATATGGGCAATATTTTGATTTCTCTTTTTAACCTTATGTATCTGACATGAACCAGGGCATGTAGTGAAGGAATTTAGTATATAATTTTAATACACTGTACTCCCACATAATCAAAACATTGGAATTAGCCACTTCAAAAGCATACCAAGGCTTTGAGTTTGTAGAAAATGAAAAAGAAAAAAAATAAAATTACTGAATCATAAAATCAGTAGTAGTACATAATTTCAGCATTCTGAGATATACTGCTGGCTAGAGAGCAGCTCTGCTTTCTGTTGATTATATACTTCCTTCAAGGATTTTTTCCATAAGGGAAAGAATTGCTTTGAATTGAAGATAGAGAACTGCTCTTAGTGGTATTATTACTTCTTGTAGTAGTTTTTCACAACTTGACATCCAAGAAAACACAGTGTGTGTGTTGGGCTTTCCCTGTGGAATGAGAACTTTCTTTCATTAGAAAACGGTTTTCTCCTTGTGTTAGATACTTACAGAATGACTTGAGAATGAGGCATGGTGGTAAATGACAGGACCTTGCTTCCTTATTAAACATGTATGTGTAGAGAGCACACTGTCTTGGGTGTTCTCAGATACAGAACAGTAAGACATTTTTCATTCCCTCAATGTGCAGCTTTCAGTTTTGAAAGAAGGTACTTTTGGATATACTAGCTGTTGTAATAGTTGTCTGAGTATCAAGGCCTGTTATGATTTACTTTTTCAGAGGAAGCGCTCTTCAGAAAAGGTTGCGTGATAGGGAAAAGGAAATGGAAGCAGATGAACGGGATAGGAAGAGAGAGAAGGAAGAGCTAGAGGAAATCAGGCAGCGCCTTCTGGCTGAAGGGCATCCGGATCCAGATGCAGAGCTCCAGAGGGTGAGTTACCCCAAGTCCATAACAGTGTTCTCATAAGGGAAATGCAGTTTATGCTCCATGGATCTTGCTGTTTTGGGGGAGGATATTAGTAGTTTTTCTTTATTTTATTATACAGATCATCAGTGTTCTTTGATTTATAGCTTTAATTATTCTAAACATCCTTCTGTGTCTTATTCCTTTATTTCTGTGAAATACGACCTATGTTAAATGAATGTCATCTAATCAAACTTACCTGGAAACCTTCCTATAATGTGTTCTGACATTTCATGACTTTTGGGGCCTCCTTAAATTTTTTTATTTCCTAAATAAAGGTGTTTTCATTAGCAACATGCCATTTTAAAAAAGGAAAGGACTTTGGCATAGGACATAGCATACTCCATTCTTTTTTTAAGAGTATGTAAAAAAAAAAGTGTGTCATTTTAGAAAAGTTTTTAGTTCTTAATATATCGTGAATCTAATAATATTGTAAGTTCTTTATATCAACTTGACAAATAGGATATAACAGATTTTTTCAACAGAAGCCATGTTTTCTTAACATGCCCCTTTTATTTTTCAAAATGAAGTTGTGTTCTTTTTCCTTCTGATAAAGTACTTACATGAGTAAATAGAAGATTCAGACAATATGCAGCACAATAGTGAAGAAATTAAAAAGCATCTGTTTTCTTTCTTTCTTTCTTTCTTTTTTTTTTTTTTTAAGATTTTATTTATTTATTTGACAGAGAGAGAGAGATCACAAGTAGGCAGAGAGTCAGGCAGAGAGAGAGGGGGAAGCAGGCTCCCAGCTGAGCAGAGAGCCCAACACGGGGCTGGATCCCAGGACCCTGAGATCATGACCCGAGCTGAAGGCAGAGGCTTAACCCACTGAGCCACCCAGGTGCCCCTGTCTATGCTGTTCTAAAATAAAATTTCGGGGGGGCTCCGGGGTGGCTCAGTCAATCATCTGCCTTCAGCTGAGGCCATGATTACGGTGTTCTGGGATTGAGCCCTGCAGCGGCATGGGGAACCTGCTTCTCCCTTTCTCTCTGCCCTTACCCCCACTCATGCTCGCACTCCCTTTCTCCCTCTTTCTCTCTCAAATAAATACTATCTTTAAAGATAAATTGAAACTTTGGGATATAATTTCTTCAATAAAAATATAAAAACATACCTTTTCCTTTTAAATTAGCTACTATTATTATATATTTGCCTTTGTTATAGCTGAAGAGCTTAATGAATTTTATATGTAAATGTTAAAAGTATAAGAAAACATTTTGCAGAGTACCTGAGATACTCTATAGGCCTGCTCAGCTTTCTGATTATAGAAGCAAGCAGTATTTCATTATTCCTAATGAAAAATAAAGGTTTTATGAAAGATAATGGAAAACAGAAAGCTAGTTGAGTGGAGTATGGTTGTGGTTTGTTAGTCACATTATTTTTCTGTTTTAGATGGAACAAGAGGCTGAAAGGCGCAGACAGCCACAAATAAAGCAAGAACCTGAATCAGAGGAAGAAGAAGAAGAAAAGCAAGAAAAAGAAGAAAAACGAGAGGAACCCATGGAAGAGGAAGAAGAGCCAGAGCAAAAGCCCTGTCTCAAACCAACTCTGAGGCCCATCAGTTCTGCCCCATCCGTTTCCTCTGCCAGTGGCAATGCAACCCCCAACACTCCTGGGGATGAGTCTCCATGTGGTATTATTATTCCTCATGAAAATTCTCCAGATCAACAACAGCCTGAGGAACATAGGCCAAAAATAGGACTAAGTCTTAAACTGGGTACGTTAGCATTTTTCTGCCTTCTTTCCTTTATTTTAATCCCCTACATATACTTAAATTTTGCCTTAAGGAAAAAAATAAATATGTGCTGCTTGGTAGGTAGATAGAAAAATACTCAAAAATGCCTTTCTAGCTCATGATTGTTTTCATAGTTCTACTAGTGCTCCTATATCTGCAGCTGCCTCAAGTTCTGAGAAGAAGTGAAAAGTTAAATTTTCTAGCACTTGTGAGTAGTGAGTCATTTTTTACAGTTGGGATCTTTCTCTGAGATTTGTGGAAGTATATTATGCACTGTTCTTGAGGGATGGTGGGTTGTAAAAGGTAATTAACATTTGCAAATTAAGTCATCATGCTAATTTGGTATTTTTACTATAGGTGCTTCCAATAGTCCTGGTCAGCCTAATTCTGTGAAGAGAAAGAAACTCCCCGTAGATAGTGTCTTTAACAAATTTGAGGACGAAGACAGTGATGATGTACCCCGAAAAAGGAAACTGGTTCCCTTGGATTATGGTGAAGATGATAAAAATGCTGCCAAAGGCACCGTAAACACTGAAGAAAAGCGTAAACACATTAAGAGTCTCATTGAGAAAATTCCTACAGCCAAACCTGAGCTCTTCGCTTATCCCCTGGATTGGTCTATTGTGGATTCTGTGAGTAGCAAATTGTATTTCATCATTTTTATTGGAAGTGGTTTTGAACATAGCAGATAAAGTCAGCTGATTCTGTTAATGACAAGTAGAGATGCTAATGTGGCTGGCGTCTTGGCCTGCCAGGGAATTTAGGTAGATGATTGAGGAAATTCTTGATACTTTGAAGTACTTTGAAGTCTTCATCAGTTAGAAGCAAGTGATTGTATCTTGATACATACCTGTGTTAGTTCAACTCGTGAATGAGAACATGCTGTATTTTAGTTTTAAGAAAAATCATGAGGCTATAGACGTAGTAATATAATAAAAGTAGTAAATATAATAAAAATTCCTTAATTAAATAACCATGCATTACTTTGCAGATATTGATGGAACGACGGATTAGACCATGGATTAATAAGAAAATTATAGAATACATAGGTGAAGAAGAAGCTACATTAGTTGATTTTGTTTGTTCTAAGGTTAGTCTTTTTCTCCCTTCATTTCCAACATTGTTTTATATTTTTAAAATATTAGACACTTTCTAAAATAAAAAATCTTGCAAAGCCAAGTCTATGGTAGTTTACTCTCACTTTTTTAAGAGATTTCATGGCTACTTAACTCCTCCACTTTAAGACCCCTATGCCACATGCTTACATCTCAGAGGGCCAAGGAGGACAGATTTGTTCCCTGCTGCCAATTTTGCTCTCTCCCTGCCTCTGAGAATGCGTTGCCACCCCGTGTCTTACTGGTTAGAATGCTGCTGAAATACAGTTGAAGGGGTTTTTGTGGAGACAGCTGATAGCCTGTCCCATGAATTTGTCAGTCATCTATCCTTTGGAAGAGGAGCAGAATAGTTTGCTTCACAGCATAATAATAGTCATTTTTATTGATTAATTTGCTGTGGCCCAGGCTCTGTTCTTGAGAGGTACTGTGTTTAGCATTTTATAGAATCTTATGTCCTTTAAACCTCTCAACAACCATAGCAAGTGTAAGTTACTATTATTATCCCCATTTACATGTGTAGAAATTGAGGCCTAGGGGGAGGTTAGGTCTTGACCATAGTTATGTAATAAGTAAGAGCTAAGTCTGTGCTCTTAATCACTAAGGTATAACTCATCATTCCATTGTCTTCTGAAGGCAAAGTCTTATCTTTAATAAGACAGAATAGTAGAAGCACTGTATATCTGTAAAGGAATAACTGATTGCATTTTAAGGAAATGCTTATTTTTCCACCACTACTGCTCTTTTAATATTAGGAATGGCAAATTTGGTCTGCCCTTTCCACTTGTAATCATTGTAGCATTGAAATTTGTAACTCTCTATTTGAATTAGAGCACATAGTATAGTGATTAAGATCCCAGGTTGTCTAAACTTCCATTGAAGAGAGTAGGATTCTGAAGATTAAGAAATTTACAGAAAGTTTCTTCAGCCACAAGAAGTTCCCATATTAGTTTGAGGGTACATTAAACTTTCTTGGCTATATTGCTAATTTTTTACTTATTTTGGAAATGACAGTTACTTGTTTCTTTTAGGTTATGGCTCATAGTTCACCTCAGAGCATTTTAGATGACGTTGCCATGGTAAGTCAGAAATTTACTGTTACTAATATTCTAATATCTGTAAACAAACTAATCTGTATTTGGTTAATTTTTTACCTGTGTTGGTTCCAGAATCTTTCTTTTTAGAAGCCCCAATTAAGATATGAATCTGCATTAAAAGAGGTTAAAAGCACTCACATTAGGATGTCCTTAGACTGCATGAACACTCTCATTCTGCCTTTGATGTTTGTATGTATAAATACAAATCCTGGATCTATTCATACATTTAGAAAACATTAATTAAGTGCTTTCTGGGTTGAACAGTGCTCTAGAAGCATGAAAAGGCGGAACATCTGCTCTCAAAGAAGTAGCAGGGAGGCAGATATTCTAATACTGGTATTGTAATATACTTGCAGTCATGGGGATATGTAAAAAAATGTAGAGGGCAGAGGAGATGGAGTATCTGATGGTAGGGAGGGCAGTTAGGAAAAGCATCACAGGAATTACCATCTAAACTGAGACTTGAAGAGACTTGTGTAACTTTGTCACTTGGACAGGTATCCATTGAGTAAACATCAAATCCCCACTTGCATTTAATTTGATATTAGAGTTGTGTCAGTGGTTGCATTTATCTAATGTGATTTTGTGAGGAAAGGAAGAAGGAAGAGAACTGACTGTAGAGGTGAGAGTGGTTGAATGTACTGTGAGCTCTGAGTTAGGAAAAGAAGGCAGTAAGGTCGGAATAGCCAGCGGTTACGTGAATCGGGCTGGTTGTTCCAGTGACGCCGTGGGAGGTGTGTTGAAAAGAGTGGTTATAGTGAGAGAGTAGAACGTTTAAGAACAAGTGGTGGATTCGTCCCGATGATGGTGGGATGCATCTTTGGCCATGGGAGAAAGTTTCTGGGATAGAGCTGATGTCATTAAGACTATAATAAACTTTCTGCCTGGGTCGTGCACATAGAAATGGAAACTTCTGTGTGTTGGGACAGGGATTGAAGAGAAATACGGGAACCAACAGCCAAAGTGCTCATCTATTGTGGGTGAAAGACTAGGTATTTGCTAGAGAGCTGCTGTTGGAGTGGAAGGGGAGTGTCCTGAGATCTCTTGAATCTTAATGAAGATACGATTCACAAAGAGAAATAGGAAGGATCCAGCAGTTTCCCCTCTCCTGTGAGATTAAGATTTTGAAAGTATGGAACTTCCTGAGTAGGCTACAGTGTCTCAGGGTCTTTCAGGGACACAGCAAGTTTTCAGGTAAATAGATGAAAAAATGATTAAAGAAGTTGAGGGTGGTTAGTATAAAGAGTAATGGAGGGGGGCGCCTGGGTGGCTCAGCGGGTTAAAGCTTCTGCTTTCTGCTCAGGTCATGATCCCAGGGTGCTGGGATGGAGCCCCTCATCGGGCTCTCCGCTCAGCCTGCTTCCCCCGCCCCACCGCACCGGCCTCTCTCTGCCTGCCTCTCTACCTACTTGTGATCTCTGTCAGATAAATAAATAAAATCTTAAAAAAAAAAAAAAAAGAGTAATGGAGGGTTGAGTGGGAAGGCAGCAGAGGGCAGATGAGTCAGAAGAAACAGCAAGCATGACATAAGATGACAAGTGCCTGGGAGAGCTTGCATTCCCCACTGCAGAGTTGTCAGGGAGGGGCGTAGTGCAGGGGCCTAACCAGAGGGAGCTCCAAGGTCAAGCTGTCTTGTGTCCAGGCACTATATGATGTCTAAAGCCAGGTGACATTAGTTTTCTGCTGCTCAGCCGGGCTGATGCAGCTCTTTTTTTAGAATTTCTGATAATTTGTGAAAAGTTTGTTGACTTCTTCATACTGCTGAGCCTCAGATGAAAGGAGAAACATGAATAGGTCCTGGTCCTTGGGGGTAGAATTTGCACTTCCCTGGCCTTCTCATCTCTTTTTAGGAAAGTATCCCTGGGTCAAGAGAGTGTTTTATAGTTGGGCTTGAGTTAAGGAATTTAAAACAAAAAACAAACCCTCAGTGTTTTAGTATTTGGCTTTGGCTGAGTTGCAATTTCTGTCAGTGAAGATGTCATGTATTATTGTTAATCCATTTTGATCTGTGGAAATATTTTGATATTTGGAGTATAATTAGACTCTTTACTGGTTAATTACTTATATTCTTTTAATTTTCTGGCTCGTTGTTGATCAGAGTGGGAAGAAACCAGACATTTGGCTAGTTTTGTCAACCAGTTCTGACAAAAGCTCACCCTCTAGATATTTCTTTATTTGGATAAATTTAGCTCAAGTAGTACTTTGCTCTTGTTAAAAATCTGACTTTTTCTTTTAAAAAAAAAAATCTGATTTTTCAAACTGTACGTTTCCTCATTTTACATGAATTAACTGGTGGTTTTTTGTGCCTAGGTCTGTATTATTTCCAAGGTTGCAGCATAGTTCTCTCAAATTGCTGCTCAAGTCTGGCTCATAGAATTCTGAGTAAAAGTTCTGTAATTACTTGTCATTGTTTAGAAATATAGGGAAATTTCTCAAAAAAAAAAAAAAAAAAACAAAACCACCTCAGATTTCTGGCTTCTTTTAGGTACTTAGTGATCACTTAGGTACCAGACACTCTCCAAAACACTTTGTACCTATTAACTCTTAATTCCCACAGTAGAACAGTATCCTGTAGTTAATATTTCCTCCATTCTACAGGTGAGAGAACTGAGGTTCATTGTGGCTAAGTGACTCAGCCAAGGACACAAGTCTAATAAGAGGTAGAAGTGGCATTTGAACCCACGTGGTCTGCCTAAAGATCTGGTTTGCTTAACTTTTTTTTTTAAGATTTTATTCATTTGAGAGGGAGCACAAGTAGGGGGCTGCGGCAGAGGAAGAGGAAGAATCAGGCTCCCCCTGAACAGCAAGCCCGATGCAGAGCTCAATCCCAGGACCCTGGGATCATGACCTGAGCCCAAGGCAGATGCTTAACCAACTGATTGAGCCACCCAGGCGACCCCCCCCACATTTGCTTACCTGCTAACTTAATCTGCTGCTCCAGAGACCTGGCAACACTAGGCCACATTCCATCACAGCAGCGATACCCTGGAGCTCATTCGTAGCTGGCACCTGTAGAAAGAAACATGCTGTTCCATTTACCTCAGTGTAACCCTGGAATAGAGGCCCAAATCTGCGTGTCGTGTGAGGGCGGGAGTAGGGGACGATACAATTCCCCTACCTCATAAGTAGATAGGAAGATGATTTACCAATTTCCCAAGGGGAGAAGACCATTTATTTATTCAGTAGCCTTATGTCTTTTTTGGTGATGATAGTATTCACATACTGTTTTTACTGTATCCCAGAAGCAATGTTAAATGCTTTACATATATTCTCACTTATATATTAATTCAGTGTCATGTACGTAATAAGGACTTGATAAGTGTTACAACTTTAAGGCTGTTTTGGGGGTAGATAAGGTACTCTTAAATAATTATGCAGTTGTATAATTACTTCTGCCTAAATTAGTGTGTTTTTTTATAACATGTGCTTTCTTTAGGAAATAGTTTTTCAATATATGTATATATGTATTTGTAAAATTAAAAGTAAAAGAATGAAAGTTGTATAAAATACTTTGGTGTCAGTATTTAGTAAGCCATGGAATTTGGCTGAATGCATTCTCCCCCATCCCACAATCCTTTTTTGTAATTTTTATTTACTAAATAACATTTTTCACACTAGACCGATTTCTTTCAAGTCATTTTATTGAAAGTAAATGATTGTCAATGTATAAACCCTTTTAAAATACCAGTCACAAGATGTCTAGGTGGCGCAATGGGTTAAGCGTAACCTTTGGCTCAGGTCATGATCCTCCCGCATCAGTGCTTGTTCAGTGGGGATCCTGCTTCTCCCTCTGCCTGCCACTCCCCTTGCTTGGGTTTGGTCTCTGTCTCTGACAAATAAATAAAATCTTGAATAACGACAGAATGTGATAAAATACCAGTCACTATTGGGAGATGCTGATGGTTGCTTATCTTACATGTGTTATTGGTTTTTTTGAGTTTTTTCTTTTTCTTTTCTAGGTACTTGATGAAGAAGCAGAAGTTTTTATAGTCAAAATGTGGAGATTATTGATATATGAAACAGAAGCCAAGAAAATTGGTCTTGTGAAGTAAAACTCTTTTTACATTTAGAGTTCCGTTTCAGATTTCTTCTTCTTTCCCACCCTTCAGAGGACTTTGGCTTTTTCTTTGTCTTCAAAGACATTTGTGAGATCTGTAATTTTTTTTTTTTTTTTTAATGTAGAAAATGTGAATTTTTTTGTCCTCTAATTTGTTGATGCCCTGTGTACTCCCTTGGTTGTAAAGACATCTGAATCCTGCCTTGGTTTTCTTTATACTCACCAGGTACAAATTACTGGTATGTTTTATAAGCCGCAGCTACTGTACACAGCCTATCTGATATAATCTTGTTCTGCTGATTTATTTCTTGTAAATATTAAAATGACTCCCCAATTCTTTTGCAGAATTGCACTTAATGTTGAACTGTACTGTATAGGAACCTATATGAATAATTTTAATTGAAAGAATATCGATCATACCTATTACCCTTCCCATCCCTTGATCAAAAATGGCAAGCCCTCCTTGAAGGCATGGAATTTAAAATTAGAATGCTAAGATTAGCAGACAATCCATTCCCACTGTATCTCTGTATGAATGTGTTCGTGTGAATGTATGTATAAATGTCTTTTCCCTAGTTTTCTTTGGAGGGCTCCCTTAAACATTTCCTTATTGAAGAGTAGAATCGTAAAGGAAACGTGGTGTTGTGCCAACCCAAATGTCTGGGATAATTAGGTTATTAGTCTCCCAGAGCATGGTATTCTCTTGCAGCAAGCAATAGTGTGGTGAATGGAATGGGGCTTTCCTGTTGATAGCTGGCTGCTTCAGCTCTCTTTTTAAAGGGAATGTGAACTATAATGATTTTCCCCTTAATTTCATTGTTCAGAAATGAGGCAGATCCTTAGATTCTGGAGAGCCTTATTAGATGCATTTTTGCACTAATTGGTCCTTAGCTTTATTTTGGTGTACTCTTTTGTTTTAAAAACAAACAAAAAAACAAAAAAAGCCCACCCTAATCTGAAAAGCATAAATGAAAAAACTCATTTTTTAAAAACAAAAGGTAAAGTTAGGCAATACAGACCAGGAAAGTTTGAAAAAATACAATAGGAATTCAGAATGGCAATTTGTAAAAGTTTACATCTTATTTTTAAAGATAAAATAAATCATTTAAGGCAGTTACCACTAATTTTTTGTTTTTAAAGGGTTTATATCTCATGAGTGTAAGTGATGTAAATGCACGCACACAACCTTTTACCTCTGCTCATCAATGTTTAAAAATGTCTTAGAGACATACATGGGGCTTTCTTTATTGTAGAACAGGACTTCACCAGGGAGCAAAATTACCCGAAAATGTAACAGGTTTTAAGCAGTTCTTAACATAAATTAGGTGCAGTTATGCCCAGGTCTGAGTATTTATTTAAAAGAAAGACAAAATTGGGGCGGGCGGGGAGTGGAATTGTTAAAAAGCATAATAGAGCTTGAGTTACCAGATTTTTTTTTACATCTTTAAAAGGAATTTGAAACACTGTTCTTAACATTGGACCATGAGGTGGTTCCATTATGTAAATATTTCCAATATTAAAACTGTATATATTTGATCTTGGGGACCCATTCTTTCAGAGTCTTGTTAAATAAATGGCATCATGTTGTAATTGTGCAGTGCATACTAGAAACATAACTTGAAGATGTGGGCTTAATTTTTGATGGAGTTGATATTTATGAGTATTAGTAACGAAGGTGAAAATGGGCCATTTACCTTACTTCGGGTTAATCATACATTTGTGGAGAATACCCCTTTTTAGTATTCTATCATTTTTAAGTTCTGGTCTCGGGAAAATTTCAGAAAGTTCATGCTCCTTGCCATCTGTAAATTCATTTACTAGCCTTCTCACAAATTGACACCCCCTCCCCCCACCGAGCTTCGCAATTCAAGTTCAAGCAATTTATTACTCCTTTCATACTGTATTATTGCTTCTAAGGCATCATATTGGGTTTTTTGTTTCTGTTTTTGTTCTTTTAACGAACATTGGCATGAAGATTTATTCAGGTACTTGGTTTCATCTTCTCCAACTCTTTCCTTTATGTATCTTAAGGGACCCTTATCTGAAAGTCTTGAGGGCACATAACATACAGGGCATCACACCTCCAGTGAGATTTGTGTCTAGATCCCATACTCCTGCCTTAACATTTCTGCATCAGAACAGGAATTATCAGAGCCCTTGGGTTAAAGACCATTTATAATAGTTTCATATCTGCTCAAGACCGGTTTTGCTACCAAGCTTAAAGTTCTAAGTTTTTCAACTTTCTTGTTTTCAGATTTGCATATAATGAACTGGACATACATAAACTGGCATATTCTAACGTCTGGGAGAATACACATAAAAAATTTCCAATAAATGCCGTGAGCTTTCTGGGTTGTCTTTACCGTTTGCCCATAGATTAATTTCAGTTTGAAAATCTTAATCTATATTGCCCATTCCAGTTGTTAAAAAATTGTATGAAAGTCTTGAGAATCACTGCCTTTTTTTTTTTCCTCTAAGATTTTATTTATTTGAGAGAGCAGGAGCAGAGGGAGGGGTTGAAGGAGAGGGAGAAGCAGATACCCTGCTGAGCATGGGACTTGATCCCAGGACCCTGAGATCAGAACATGAGCCCAATTAACCGACTGAGCCAGTCAGGCAGCCCTTGAGAATCATTCTTTATCTGGCAGTTAGAAAATGAATACATTTTTTCCTCATTTGACCTTATAATTTTAAATATGTACATTTGTTGACAGGAGGAAGGATAAGTTGAAGTTCCTCTCAAACTTACATACACCTGAATCACCTGGGGATCTCCTTAAATGTAGACTGATGTGGGAGGGGTAAGGTGGGGCTGGACGTTTTGCATTACTCACCAGCTTCCAGGCAAAGCCAGTTGCTAGCTGATCCAAGCACTGACTACACTTAGGTTAGCAGTTGAACGTATGTACCCAGTACAGTTTCCTCTGCTATCCCAAAAATTGAGTGTCCCTGTGAAACGTTTTGAAAGCTGAAATGGCATAAAGCAAAGCAACAATAACCATTAATTTATATGGGAATTTTGTTTGAGTTCTCCCTCACCAAAAAATAATCTCTCCCAGATTTACCTGGTACCTTAGAATACATCTTGCTAACAGGTGCACGAAATAAATCGAGGTAAAGCACAGATTCTCACAGACCTAGTTCACAGCTGTGGTGGCTTGATGCTTAATGCAGTCCCCGGGAAGGGACTTGCTGGCACCCCTAGATGCATGCATGGGCTGTGTGCTGCTTTTATAAGGGCTTGCTGCAAGACAAGCCGTTTTCGCTATATTTTCTTCCTTTTCGTAAAAGTGAAATTCCTCTTCAGATTTTCTTTTGGTTAGCAAAACCAGGTGCTACTGTAGGTTTTTCATAAAAGTGAAGTAACTTGACTTCTGAAAAGCCAGGGGACCCCATATTAGTATTTTATCCTAACATACTACACAAATGTGGCTCAATTTTCTTTTTAAGTAGATTATAAAGAGAGCACTTTTTGAGACAAATAGATGCATAATATGTATGTTCATGAATATACGGCAGTCTTCCGAAAAAGGTGCCTAAGAACAACTCTTAATATCCTAGGCTTTATTCCCAGCCAGTACCAGAGGCATTTTCTCCTTAGAGAACTCTGTTTTTACTTATTCTGGATCTTACCATAGCACTTCTCTATGAGGTAGAGGCTAGTGACGATTTTGTGGAGTGCTGTTTCAGGTACTAATCAGGCACAAATGCTAGATACAGTGGACAAATGGAGAAGCTGCTTGAAAGTCAAATTGAACTAAGCACATTTTCTTATATATGAAGTAAAGAAGTGATAATAAGTAGTATGTATATGAGGCTTATTTACCCCTTTTCTGAGGAGCTCTATAAATGTTTCCGCTTTTAACCCAAAAAGCGCTGAAAGGTTTTATGTCAAAATGGTTACAGATATTTTCAGGTCATATTTCAGCCTTTTTTAACAGTCCAATATTGAGAAGTCCTATATTGCTCAGCAAAAGATGATGAAATTGATGTCTGAATGTCCCGAACATAAGGGTATGAGAAAGAATCCCAAATAGGCAAAGAAACACTTAGTCTGGGTGTCAGGAAGAAAACTGGGAAATTCATATATTTCAATCCCAGGAACTATTACTATAGCATTCATACTATAGACCAAAGTAAGCTTATAATTTTTTGATAAATGGTAGATTTTTTTGAACTGTGATTATGTTGAATTATTTTTTTTTTAGGTTTTATTTATTTGACACAGAGACAGCAAGAGAGGGAATGCAAGCAAGGGCAATGGGAGAGGAAGAAGTAGGCTTCCCGCTGAGCAGGGAGCCCAATACGGGGTTTAATCCCAGGACCCTGGGATCATGACCTGAGCTGAAGGCAGACACTTAACGACTGAGCTATACCCAGGCACCCCTGATTATGTTGAATTATTGAAATGATTTGTTTGCATGAGTGCTTACATTTTCATCTTTATTTGATAGGATCTTTGCCTTTGATTTTACCACTTGTCTTGTATGAAGGCCAAATTAGGAATAGCAATCTAAAATCCCCAGGAATAAAAAATAATTTCTATAAGCAAAAGTAAATAAAAGTTCTTTTCAAGCCATGTTGTTTTCATTAAATGACACTCCCAAGTATGCCTGTTGTGCCCCATCCCATAGTAGTTGGATTTATGATCTAGCTTCTCATGCCCAGAGTGGCAGCTGAATTGTTAACAGGTAGCCCCTCTGTTTTTTGTGTAACTTTTATTTAGCCATTGAAGCACTTAATATGGCATTCATGTTAAATGGTAGGTAGAGGGATAGACATAAGACAAGATTCCTCTAATAGCTCTGGTAGTCTAATAATGGTGGAGGAATAATAATGATAGGAATACTAATGGACATAAAGTACTCTACCAACTGTCAGACTTGATTGTGCTAATTTGATCGTCAAGCAGGAAGGGACAGTAGGAAGATTTTCAACAGAGGTAGTAATACCTAGAAGGGAACTTAGAGGTCACATTTATCTACCCAAGCAACACTACTGTAGTGTTCTTGACAGGTGGGTGTTTGGAGGCCTATATATATATTGGATTCTAATTCATGGTCTAGCTCTGTGCTCCTCAAGGTTTTAAGTTTGTTAAATAATTTTGAAATTCAGTTCTTCAAACACATGAGCATATTTCAAATGTTTAGATGTCATGTGACTAAGGGTTTTTTTTTATTGCAATAAAGTTTAAATAAAACTTAATAACATCTCTACAGCCAAATATAGCCAATGCCTAGCAATACTATATGGACATTGCACATTATAGAACATAATTGTGTTTTGGGCGCCTGGCTGGCACAGTTGGTAGAGCACGTGACTCTTCATCTACTTCAGGGTCGTA